GATGGTAGGTGTGGCCGAGAGAGAGCTTCTGCTATGACATTCTTTGCTCCTGGAATGTGACATGCTCTGACATGTATGTTGAGATTGTCGATTAGATCGAACAATTAAAAACATAGAGTCAATAGGTTCGGTGACCTGGTTGAGCCTTGTTTGTTCACATAAAACGCCACTGTTGAGTTGTCTGTGTGAATCATCAGATGGGCATTCTTTAGTAAGTTGCTCCAATGTAGTATGGCGTTTACTACTGCTTGCATTTCTAGCAAGTTTATGTGTAGTTTGCTCTCTTGTTGGCTCCATAACCCTGATGCCATCCTGTTGGCGAGGTGTGCTCCCCAACCTTGGAGCGAAGCGTCTACATAGAGATGTGTTTCTAATTCCGGCTCTATTAAATAGATGCCTTCGCAAACATTCGATCTCTTGGTCCACCATAGTAGGTGAGGTTTGACGTGATTCGGTAGACTGAATGGTTGAGGGTCGTCGAGATGAGAGTTGATGAGGACCTGTAACGGACGTAGCTGTAGTCTGCCTCTGACTGTCATGTCTTGAGCTGACGTGAGTAGACCCAACAGGCTCTGCCATTGTCGTAGTGGTAGCGGAGAGAGTAAGGCTTGAGGGATTGTCTGTTGGATCTTGATCAATCAGTCCTCTGGTACAACGATACGATTCTGCGCCGTGAGAAATCGAATGCCTAGAAATTGCAGATCTTGCGTAGGTTCTAGGTCCGACTTGAGTCGATTTACTAACCATCCTAGCTGTGTTAGTAGCTTGATGATGAAGTTTAATTGTAGTCTGAGACGCTGTGGATCTGGATCCACTTGTATCCCGTCGTCAAGGTAGAACGCACTGCGTAGCCCTTGACGATGTAGGTAAATGACGATGGGTTTCGTTATTCTTGTAACAACCAGGGGGCCGATGATATTCCAAATGGTAGGACCTTCCATTGGTAGTGTAGCCCGTCTAGTGTAAACCGTAGGTACTTCCTTGAGTCGGGAAGTATCGGGATATGCAAGTAGGCATCCTGTAGATCTATACTGGCCATGTAGTCCATCTGACGGACGAGTTGCAGTAGTTGAGGTAGGTGTATCATGCGAAAAAGTTGGCGGTTTGCGTAGATAGTCCCTGTTGAACGTGCTCATGTTGTAGATGAGTCGGAACTTTTCCTTGGAATTTTTCTTGGGCACTAGGAAAACTGGGGAGTAGAAGCCTGGTTTACTTGGTCCAGTACTTCTATGGCCTGCTTGGTTAGGAGTGTTGATACCGCTTCTCTTAACTTTGGTAGTTGTAGAGCCTGGAAGTCGAACCTCGGAGGGATGACTGTCAGCGGGGGCGTGGCCTGTAGTTGTATTCGATATCTGTGCTGTAGGATGTTGGAGACATATGGATCCTCTAGGAATCCCCAATTTTCCCAGTGCAGTTGAAGGCGTCCACCCACTTGTGATGGTTGTACTGGAACGGCTGGGGGGTGGAAGACTCCAGTCGTTCCGAACCTGTCCTTCATCGTTTATAGTTGCGGGAGCCTCTGGATGACCTGCCTCTTCCAGATCCTCCCCTGTAATTGCCGTATGGGCGGCGAAAAGACTCTTTTGCTCCTCTTACACTTGCCATCTTCCTGTCCCATGCTTTCTGTAGACCTGATGCTGTCAAGTGATCCGTTAGGAACTGCTGGTCCTTCTTCTGCATGAGGGGGCCGAGTAAATCATCCTGTCATCCTCAGATGTAGAGTCTCTGAACTTCGTGAGGAGAGTTTCGTTGACTGTTCTTGATCTGTTCAGACCAAAGAACATCCTCCTTGACATGGTTTCCATCTGGACTAGCTTGTGGTCATCTATTCTGTAAGTCTTGGACTTGGCATCGCTGATCATCTTATAGTTATCATCGATATCTTGTGCCTTGTAAAAGGGTCCATGTTGTGACCTGCAAACTTGTTAGCATTGAAATGCGGCACATGTGGTGTCTGTGATTTCGTGGCTTTATTAAAGGCTGTATCCAGACTAGCTGGCACCGCTGCTATCGGGTCAATCGGAGGTAAGGTGATTGTGTCAGCATCATCTTCCTTCATAAGATATGTGTAGGCTGAGTTCTTGTTCTTAGACGGGGAGGATAGTTCCAGACTATTCACCATCCAATATCTTATTTCTGCGTCGGAAAATATGATACCATCTTCATCTTCAGACATCAGGTCACAGATAATGTGTTGATGCTCCTCCGATAGTGACTGAGGTGGAGTCCTTGATGATCTGTACGTGGATCGACGAGGTGATCGTGGTGAACGGACTGACGAGTGGCGTCTATAAGGTGACCTACGCTGAGACTTCCTTGGTGAACGCTGGTAGCTTCGCGAAGCTCTCGATGAATCCTTTGATGATCTTCTAGATGGGGATGACTTGGAGCCACTTAACCTTCGTGAAGGCCTTCTTGAAGGTTGAGAGTCTGAGTCTGAGTCATGGGATGAGAGATCATCAAGATCCGAGGTAGGTGATATAGTCGTCATCCGTGAAGCCTTCCGTGAATGCTGAGGATCAGGGTCCTTCGTGGAGGCAGGCTGGGTCGCTCTTCGCAGAGGCTTGGAGGTGGGCTGGGTCGCCCTTCGTGGAGGCGCGTAAGCGGGCTGGGTCGCCCTACACGGAGGTATGGGGGTGGGCTGGGTCGCCCCTTGGCTCTAGAGGCCTCTGTAGACCGTAGCGATCTTCCATCAACTTCATAATGTGGTTCATCAGGTCGTCTGGGGCGGTCTGCGCTGAAGTAGTTGCTGCCTTTTCTACGATGGTAGCAACGGGACCCTCAGGAAGATTCTCCGACATCAGTGTAGGTGCCTCAGACTGCGTGCTGATCTGCGCTGATGTTATAGTTGCCGACACTGGCCACTTCTTCCGCCGTAAGTCTGGTATGATGATCGGTTGATCATCATCATACAGGCCCAACTCTGCAACGGGAACAATCTCGGCTGAGAAAGTACTGCTGGACTTCGTTGATTTCCCCTTTGACGTGGATGTAGCCCTGGGGGTGCGGAGTCTGTGTTGTGACGACATGGAAGCCCTCCTAGTCTTTGGCTGCGACGACGGTATGTCCGAGGATGCAGGTCGCTTCTTGGAGATAGCGGACTGCATCCCACGCCTCTCCTCCGAGGGTAACTCTAGCGGAACAACAGACGGGAGGGGGATCGTCCGACAGTAGCTGACAGGGTAAGGGCTCTGGTGTATTAGCCATGGCTAAAATCTGTTTACGTGACCTATCTGCTGCGCGTCTCAAGACGCAAAATAAATATTTATCAGAAGGCAGAATTGGATAAATTAGTACAATAATTGCAACGTGAAACAGTAGAGCATGGCGTAGTACAACTAGGGCATATTAAATGCGGGTCAGCAGCAGAAAAAACGTAATTTACAAATAGTGCAGATTTTCATCAACGCAATCTACTGAACAAAAACGGAGTCCCGTGAATAAAACAGTAGAAACACGAATAAATATCAATGCATTATGTTGAAGGATACTAGCTACACCTCTATAGAAGTCTATGAGAGGTAAATAACTAAGAATAAACAAAGGATATAATGTGTAGGGAGACACAGGCGCTCTCACATCCTGCTCACTGGGTGAAGAAGGAGAGAGTGAGGCATGTGGAGGGAGGTGGCGCCCTCGTTCCCGCGCAAATGGTTGGGAAGGAGACAACTCTTGGTGAGTACTAATAAGTGATTTTACATTGATGGGAGCTTCAATTGGGAGATGCAAGTGTTCCACTGTGTTCGCAAGAAGAAGAAGAAGACAAGCAAAATAGCATGAGTCAGGATAAGGAAAAATTTGACTTTTAAACATTCAGATACTGTGCACTTGCATATTAGGAAAGTAAATCTCGAGGTCTAGGAATATCTACTAGTACTACTACATATTATCCAACATCTGCTATTGAAGGAGACCTGAGATTGCTCTCCCCTTTTGGTCACACTGTTGGGACTAAACATCGGCTCGAGGAGGTAAAGGAAATCTCTGCCTGTGCAGATTATCCAACATTGACTATTGAAGGAGACCCAAGATCTCTCTTAGTGTCACAGTAGTGGGGATAAGGCCTTTGGTGGTCTTCATGAACCCCTGCCAGGGGCGTAGCTACCATTATAAGAAAAAGCATGGGCTTACACATGATTGTTGCTAAGGTTGGGCAAGCCCTCAATACTATCTAAACATAAAGCTTTGCAACCTGTCAGGCTTAAACGAAAAATATGGCTTGCTACGCGCCTGCCTGCCTACACTGTAGTGCTGGATTATAAAAAAAAAATGGGTAGGAGAGATCCCCTTTCTTTCATAAAAATGGGGCTGGAGATACACTGAAGTAGGTCTAGAAAACACCCTGACGATACTCTGATTCTGTCCCATTCAATACTGGGTAGTACAGAAGACTCCACTTTCTGTCACTCCAGTGGGGCTAAATATTGGCCTGAGGATGTCTCCATAAACTGCTGCCTCTACTCCTATACTGCCCCATCCAACACTGGGTAGTACTGAAGACTTGGGATTGACCTACTGGGGATCAAGGCCTGAGGAGGTCTCCATAAACCCCTGCATCTACTCCTATACTGCCCCATCCAATACTGGGTTAAAAAGGAATCCCGAGATTGATCTGATCTCATTTTCTGCCAAAGAGGAGACGCACAGTTTGGGTTGAATATAAGCTTAAGTAGATCTAGAAAAATCCCTGCCTATACTCATACTGCCCCATTCAATACTGGGTTAAAAAGGTATCCCGTGAGTGATCTGATCTCAATTTCTGCCAAAGAAGAGATGCATAGTTTGGGGTGAATATAAGTCTAAGCAGATCTAGAAAAATCCCTGCCTATACTCATACCGCCCCATTCAATACTGGGTTAAAACGGTATCCCGCAAGTGATCTGATCTCAATTTCTGCCAAAGAAGAGATGCATAGTTTGGGGTGAATATTAGCTTAAGCAGATCTAGAAAAATCCCTACATTCATACTGCAATATCCAAACAAGAAGACTTGAGACTGACCTCCCCTTTCTGGCCAACGCTGTACAATTCCGGCTTCTCCAGCAGCACCTCGGCCGTCACATCCTTGTCAAAGATGCCGTTGACAATGGGAGGCAGTGATGTGAAGATAAGGTGGAGCAGCATCATGTAGATACTGTCCAGCATAAGGGAGCCGGAGAAACCACTGAAGAATTGGAACCAGAAGAGCGTCATCACCGACATCTGAAACAGAAGGACCTCTTGAAACAAGACCGCACTGATACACTGTGATTCATGTGATTGCATGGGAGAGCCTGAAATTGTTCATCCATGAGTGGACAAAGATATAGATCCTCTCAAAATATATGTGAACAACAGAGAGTGAGTGAGTGAGTGAGTTTAGCTTTACGCTGCACTCAACAATATTCCAGTTATATAACAGCGATCTGTAAATAATCGAGTCCGGACCCGACAATTCAGTGATCAACAGCATGAACATCGATCTATGCAATTGGGATACGATGACATGTGTCAACCAAGCCTGCGAGCCTGACCACCCGAGCCTGTTAGTCGCCTCTACGACAAGCATGGGTTACTGAAGATAAATTCTAGCATGGATCTTGATGGGTCGAACAACGGAGAGAGTTCTATGGATATACAACTTCTTTATCATTAACAAGAGAGACGTTTCGGTGTAGCTACTAACACTGTTATCAGAGTCACTTGCTTGATAACAGTGTGAGTAGCTACACCGAAATGTCACTCATATCAATAATAGAGAAGTTCTATATCCATAGAACTCTCCCTGTTGTTCATCACACCAACTTCTAAATGCCACTCAAAGAAATATATGTGATCTATTCTGACTCCCCCAAATACACAAATTCATCAGTTAGATTGTTTATAATTTAATGCCACACTCAGCTACATGGCACAGATAATATACCAACACAGTTGATGACATATTCATTTGAATGTAAGGAGGTAATGTACAGTCCCAAGTAACATTCCACACCATCTGTATGTTATCAGGAAGATCAGACCCCCCAATCCGATGAGTCGCCTGTTATGACATGCTAATAGCATTGGCATGGCAATATTGATTCTAATCAGAAATCCTTATTGTTGTTGCTGAAGCAGACATTTAATTCATGCTCCAGGGAAGGCAAGAGACTGTTCATCCATGATCAGACAAATATGATAACTTTCCTCAAGTGTTTCCCCTTTAAGAATGACCTTCCCAAAACACAAAGAAGTTTGTTTACTATGAATAATCAAATTATACAATTGTACCTTGATCATGAAAACACTGTCTCTATTTCTATGATGATCCTTAAACACAGTGTTCATTTCACAATCTTCCCCTGTTATGCTGTCTGTTTATCCACTTCCTGTTTCTCCCTAAGGCACCTTTCATTATTTTGTTAAAATGTTCACACGTATCCTGTCTGTTTATCCACTTCCTGTTTCTCTCTAAGGGACAATTCATTATTTGGTCAAAATGTCCACAAGTATGCTGTCTGTTTATCAACTTCTTGTTTTTCCCTAAGGCACCTTTCATTATTTTGTTAAAATGTTCACAAGTAACATATTTATCAGTTTCCCTTACCAAACTCTTGTAGAACATGAAGGCTCCAAATTTACTCAGTCGGTTATAGCACCAATGACCATGGACAAGAAGCAGCCTCTCGAGATACTTGAACCTTGCAATGGCAAAGTCAGAGGACATGACAGCCTGCATGCCCTCCTGGCCTGAGATTCCGATACCAATATCAGCTGTCTGGATCATGCTGACATCGTTAGCTCCGTCACCTGCACAGACAAGAGGAGTAATGAATCTTGGGCTCCATTACAAAGGACAAGAGAAAAATGGCTAATGGATAAAACATGAGAGTGCCCATGAAACATGTAATTTTTTTATTAAAATTGATATTTTACACTTATCCTGACTCATGCTTAATTGCTTGTCTCCTTCTTCTTGCGAATGATAGAGGAACACTTGAATCCCTTTTTGAAGAGCCTTCAAAAAAGCGGACGTAAAATCACTCACCCGAGGTTGCCTCCCTTTACTGTTTTGGCACCAAAATCAGTCACAGTATCGCCCATGCTTGTTATGTCACTCTCTCCATTTATGAGCCCGACACCTGGATTTATAGGAAAATCCAGAGTGCCATGAGGGGAGGTTGGGAGGGCTGACCTCATGAGTCAGGATAAGTAGAAAATATCAATTTTAATAAAAAATTACATATTTTTCCTTATCCTGATTCATGCTTAATTGCTTGTAGAATCCGACGGAACCGGTGGTGGGTCAAGCCACTCTGGATTCATAGCTTGCTGATTTACGTCCTGCATACCCCCACGAGGAAACTTCTTAAGGCACTGTGCTGATCCTTTCTTCCAGCTTCCTCTGATGAGTCTGGGGGGACCACAACTTGTCAGATTTCTCTGGAACTGTCTTCTCCTGACATTATGTGTGGATTTATGCAACTCCATGCCTTGATGCTCGCATCAAGTGGAGAAGTGACCCTTCTTCATGTACGAGTAGGTCCTTACAAGTATAGGGTCTGTCACTCATGCTGGTCAGTCCTAGACGTGCGCATGGACTCTAAAGCTGTAGCTCTTCAGAGCGTTGGCTTTTACAAGTCACGTGATAAAAGGGTGAGATTCATCTCAGCGACTTTGAGGAACCGTCAGTTGTTGTGTCTTGGTGAACCGCTCACTCCAACTGCAGGAAGACAGCAATCCTTGTCTTCTCAAGAGCGTCAAGCCCGCTGATGTGGGTGCCAGATGGTCGGACATAACTGATGATCTTTTTTTTGGGTCAGCAATGCAGAGTAAATCATCCTATCCTCTTCAGAGGACTAGTTCCTGAACTTCGCGATGATGGTTTCATTGATGGCTCTTGATCGGGCTAGACCAAAGAAGGTACGTCTGGTAGTTGTGTCTAGTTGTGCCAGCTTCTTATCCTCTATTTTATGTCCTTGATCGGGAGTCGTTGATGATTTTGTAGTTCTCATCTATCTCTGGGGCCTTCATGAAGGGATCCATGTGGTGAAGTGAGAACTTCTTGCCGTTGAATGGCGGGACGCTTTGGCTCTGGAACTTGCCTTCCTGAAGGCTGTGCTGAGGTTCTCTGGTACATCTGAGACAGGATCGATGGATGGAAGGGTGAGTGTATCAAAGTCGTCGTTCCACATCATATACGTGAATGCTTCATTATCCTCATTAGAAGGTGATGCAAGTTCCAATCCATTAGCCATCCAAGATTTGATATCTGTATCAGAGAATATGATTCTGCCATCATCTTCAGATCAAGAGGCCTCTTAATCTGAAGATCGTTGCCGTTGTGCCTCCTTCCTACATGGAGATCTGCGTGGAGATCTTCGTGGAGATGTGCTTGAAGACCTTCCTGAAGACCTACGCGCAGGTGACCGGTTCGGTTAAGGATCCTCCCGGGAGTCTTGAGACGTATCTCTGTGCCTTCGTGAAGGTGTAGATTATCTTCTATGGGATGCAGGGTACCTGCGCGCAGGCTCCTGATGACTGTCCATATCTGAGGTCGAGGATGATCTGCTTCTGCGATGCTCTGGTGAACATCTGGTTCTGCTCCTGCGCGAAGGCTCCTCTGGAACATCTACTGGAGACTCATCGTTGTCAGGGCTGGCAGGTTCTCGGGAAGTTGCCGTGGACAATCGTCGAGTGCGTGACCCTTCACGTAGGTTCCCTCCTTCACGCAGGCTACCATCTTCAACAGGATGCGATCTGCAGGCTGCTTGTCCTTCATGCAGGCTCGTCATAGATGGGGCCTTCGCCGCAACCTTCTCCTGCACGAACCTCCATTCCATCAGGTCCAACATCTGCTGAGTAAACTGCTGCATGAAGCTACCCGGGTTGAAATTCTGCGACGACGGCTGCTGCTGCTGCAAAGATGACGGCGCATCTGAGAGTGCTGAGGCTTCATCCAAGGACCGCTGTGCTTGTGAAGAACTGCCGTCTCTGGTATCTGATGTCTGCATTGATAGAACGTCTGACTGCGCTGAGATGACTGCTGACGTCACTGTAGAAGAAGATCTCGTCTTCTTCTTAACTGCTATTTCAGGAATGAGAAGACGATGCCCTGGTCTTCTTAGACTTCGACGAGGCTGCTTCTGATGTTGACGACCTCTTCCTGGAGCCGGAGCTTCCATCTGCCACAGCAACATGCTCCGTAATAGCAACCGGTAAATCACTGGAATGGTGAATCCTTCCTAAATGCCGTATACAGCTAATTTAGTGGTAAAGGCCTAAAAATAAGAGGATATAGTGCCGTATAGGGGACCCAGGCGCTCTCACAACCGTCCTCTAGGGCGAAGAAGGAGAGAGTGACAAGCATGGGCGATCATGTGACTGATTTTGGCGTCAAAAACAGTAAAGGGAGGCAACCTTGGGTGAGTGATTTTACGTCCACTTTTTTGAAGGGAGCTTCAAAAAGGGATTCAAGTGTTCCACTATCATTCGCAAGAAGGAGACAAGCAATTAAGCATGAGTCAGGATAAGGAAAAATACAACTTTTACTAATGATGACAATAATGAATGCTGTGCTCATTAGTGAGTGAGTATGGTTGTATGCTGCTTTTAGCAATATTCCAACAATATCATGGCGGGGGACACCAGAGTGAGTGAGTGAATGAGTATTGTTTTACACCGCTTTTAGCAATATCATGGCGGGGGACACCATAAAAGGGCTTTACACATTGTACCCATGTACGGAATCAAACCCGTGCCTTCAGTGTGACCAGCAGACGCTGTAACCACAAAGCTACCCCACCACTCTTAAAGTCAGTGAGGATGGTTCTGTGCTGCTTTTGATTCCAGCAATATCATGGCAGGGGACACCAGAAATTGGCTTCACACATTTGTACCCATGTCTGGAATCGAACCCTGGTCTTCGGTGTGAAGAGCAGACACAGTAACCATTAGGCTACCCCACAGCCCCGTTGTGGTTATTGAGAATATCATAAAATTTGAGTATAGGATTTGATGACTACTTAATGCTGCAGCTGGACGAAGGGAGATAACTGGACTGGGACTGTAATGATCCAGTATTCTGCATGTAATATTAGTGAACTGGTTCCAGTTGATACATGTATCAATCTACATAAAATACCTAGATGAGTTTAAAAAGGAATAACATCAATCAAAGTGGAGATAACAAATATTTAGCACCTAATATCAATTATTTCAAAAATATAGTTTACAAGGCGGCAAATGGTGACAATGAACACATATTAACAGATTTGAAACCTTTTTGTCAAAAAAAGGTAAGCTGCAAGTCTGTGGGACTAGGAGTTATTGTTAGAATGTCACAAAAGATACCCTTGTCTTAACAAAATCCTAAGAATTCTGCAGAACATACCAATGGCTAATGTGAGCTTCTTCAACTCTTCCTTCACAAGTTTGACGACATGTCCCTGAAAACAACAAAGACCGGAATCAGATGTTGCAGTTGTTGGGGATGGTTGTTGGGAACAGTTACGGAGGACGATTGTCTAGAACAGTTGTTGGGGATGGTTGTTTGAAACAGTTACTGAGGACGATTGTCGGGAATAGTTGTCGGGGATGATTGTTAGAAACAGTTACTGAGGACGATTGTCGGGAACAGTTGTTGGGGTTGACTGTTGGGAACAGTTCCTGAGGACAATTGTCGGGAACAGTTGTTGGGAACAGTTACTGAGGACGGTTCTCGGGAACAGTTGTTGGAGATGGTTGTTGGGAACAGTTACTGAGGACGATTGTCTAGGACAGTTGTTGGGGTTGATTGTTGGGAACAGTTACTGTGGACGATTGTCGGGAACAGTTGTTGGGAACAGTTACTGAGGACGATTGTTGGGAACAGTTGTTGGGGATGATTGTTGGGAACAGTTACTGAGGACGATTGTCGGGAACAGTTGTTGGGGATGATTGTTGGAAACAGTTACTGAGGACGATTGTCCAAAACAGTTGTTGGGGATGATTGTTGGGAACAGTTACTGAGGACAATTGTCGGGAACAGTTGTTGGGGATGATTGTTGGGAACAATTACTGAGGATGATTGTCGGGAACAGTTGTTGGAGTTGGCCGTTGGGAACAGTTACTGAGGACAATTGTCGGGAACAGTTGTTGGGAACAGTTACTGACGACGACTCTTGGGAACAGTTGTTGGGGATGGTTGTTGGGAACAGTTACTGAGGACGATTGTCTAGGACAGTTGTTGGGGTTGATTGTTGGGAACTCTTATTGAGGATGATTGTCGGGAACAGTTGTTGGGAACAGTTACTGAGGACGATTGTCAGGAACAGTTGTTGGGGATGGTTGTTGGGAACAGTTACTGAGGACGATTGTCTAGAACAGTTGTTGGGGTTGATTGTTGGGAACAGTTACTGAGGACAATTGTCGGGAACAGTTGTTGGGGATGGTTGTTGGAAACAGTTACAGAGGACAATTGTCGGGAACAGTTGTTGGGGTTGATTGTTGGGAACAATTACTGAGGACGATTGTTGGGAAGAGTTGTTGGGGATGATTGTTGGAAACAGTTACTGAGGACAATTGTTGGGAACAGTTGTTGGGGATGATTGTTGGAAACAGTTACTGAGGACATATTGTCGGGAACAGTTGTTGGGGTTGATTGTTGGGAACAGTTACTGAGGACGATTGTCGGGAACAGTTGTTGGGAACAGTTACTGAACACGATTGTCAGGAACAGTTGTTGGGGTTGATTGTTGGGAACAGTTACTGAGGACGATTGTCTAGAACAATTGTTGGGTTAGGCAGTTGGGAACAGTTACTGAGGACGATTGTCTAGAACAGTTGTTGGGTATGGTTGTTGGGAACAGTTACTGAGGACGATTGTCTAGAACAGTTGTTGGGGATGGTTGTTGGGAACAGTTACTGAGGACGATTGTTGGGAACAGTTGTTGGGGTTGATTGTTGGGAACAGTTAATGAGGACGATTATTGGGAACAGTTGTTTGGGATGTTTGTTGGGAACAGTTGTTGGGGATGGTTACTGGGAACAGTTGGAGAAAGGATGATTGCTGGGATCGGGAACAGTTGTTGGGGTTGATTGTTGGGAAGAGTTACTGAGGACGATTGTCGGGAACAGTTGTTGGGAACAGTTACTGAGGACGATTGTTGGGAACAGTTGTTTGGGATGATTGTTGGGAACAGTTACTGAGAACGATTGTTGGGAACAGTTGTTGGGGATGATTGTTGGGAACAGTTACTGAGGACGATTGTCGGGAACAGTTGTTGGGGATGATTGTTGGAAACAGTTACTGAGGACGATTGTCCAAAACAGTTGTTGGGGATGATTGTTGGGAACAGTTACTGAGGACAATTGTCAGGAACAGTTGTTAGGGATGATTGTTGGGAACAATTACTGAGGATGATTGTCAGGAACAGTTGTTGGAGTTGGCCGTTAGGGGAACAGTTACTGAGGACCATTGTCAGGAACAGTTGTTAGGAACAGTTACTGACGACGACTCTCAGGAACAGTTGTTGGGGATGGTTGTTAGGAACAGTTACTGAGGACGATTGTCTAGGACAGTTGTTAGGGGTTGATTGTTGGGAACTCTTATTGAGGATGATTGTCAGGAACAGTTGTTAGGAACAGTTACTGAGGACGATTGTCAGGAACAGTTGTTGGGGATGGTTGTTAGGAACAGTTACTGAGGACGATTGTCTAGAACAGTTGTTAGGGGGTTGATTGTTGGGAACAGTTACTGAGGACAATTGTCGGGAACAGTTGTTGGGGATGGTTGTTGGAAACAGTTACAGAGGACAATTGTCAGGAACAGTTGTTAGGGGTTGATTATTTAGGAACAGTTACTGAGGACGATTGTTAGGAAGAGTTGTTAGGGGGATGATTGTTGGAAACAGTTACTGAGGACATATTGTCCAGGAAACAGATGTTGGGGGAACAGTTGTCAGGGTTGATTATTTAGGAACAGTTACTGAGGACGATTGTCAGGAACAGTTGTTAGGAACAGTTACTGAACACGATTGTCAGGAACAGTTGTTAGGGTTGATTGTTGGGAACAGTTACTGAGGACGATTGTCGGGAACAGTTGTTAGAACAGTTACTGACGACGACTCTCAGGAACAGTTGTTGGGAACAGTTACTGAGGCGACGATGGAACAGTTGTTGGGGATGATTGTTAGGAACAGTTACTGAGGACGATTGTCTAGGACAGTTCTTGGGGTTGATTGTTGGGAACTCAGTTATTGAGGATGATTGTCGGGAACAGTTGTTGGGAACAGTTACTGAGGACGATTGTCGGGAACAGTTGTTAGGGATAGTTGTTGGGAACAGTTACTGAGGACGATTGTCTAGAACAGTTGTTAGGTTGATGATTGTTGGGAACAGTTACTGAGGACAATTGTCAGGAACAGTTGTTGGGGATAGTTGTTTGGAAACAGTTACAGAGAACAATTGTCAGGAACAGTTGTTAACAGTTGATTGTTGGGAACAGTTACTGAGGACAATTGTTGGGGAACAGTTGTTGATTGTTGGGAACAGATGATTGTTGGAAACAGTTGTTGAGGACAGTTATATTGTCGGGAACAGTTGTTAGGGTTGATTGTTGGGAACAGTTTGAGGACGACTGGGACGATTGTTGGGAACAGTTACTGAGGACGATTGTCAGGAACAGTTGTTGGGAACAGTTACTGAACACGATTGTCAGGAACAGTTGTTGGGGTTGATTGTTGGGAACAGTTACTGAGGACGATTGTCTAGAACAATTGTTGGGGTAGGCAGTTGGGAACAGTTACTGAGGACGATTGTCTAGAACAGTTGTTGGGGATGGTTGTTGGGAACAGTTACTGAGGACGATTGTTGGGAACAGTTGTTGGGGTTGATTGTTGGGAACAGTTAATGAGGACGATTATTGGGAACAGTTGTTTGGGATGTTTGTTGGGAACAGTTGTTGGGGATGGTTGTTGGGAACAGTTACTGAGGATGATTGTCGGGAACAGTTGTTGGGGTTGATTGTTGGGAACAGTTACTGAGGACGATGGGTGGAGAACAGTTGTTGGGGACGGTTGCTGAGGATGATTGTCGGGAACAGTTGTTGGGGTTGATTGTTGGGAAGAGTTACTGAGGACGATTGGTGGAGAACAGTTGTTTGGGATGGTTGCTGCGGACGATTGTCGGGAACAGTTGTTGGGGATGATTGTTGGGAACAGTAACTGAGGACGATTGTCGGGAACATTTGTTGGGGTTGATTGTTTGGAAGATCTACTGAGGACGATTGTTGGGAACAGTTGTTGGGGATGGTTGTTGGGAAGAGTTACTGAGGACGATTGTCAGGAACAGTTGTTTGGGTTGGCTGTTGGGGACAGTTGTCAGGAACAGTTGTTGAGGATGATTGTTGGGAACAGTTACTGAGGACATATTGTCGGGAACAGTTGTTGGGATGATTTTTGGGAACAGTTACTGAGGACGATTGGTGGAGAACAGTTGTTGGGGACGGTTGCTGGGGACGATTGTCAGGAACAGTTGTTGGGGATGATTGTTGGGAACAGTAACTGAGGACGATTGGTGGAGAACAGTTGTTGGGGATGGCTGTTGGGGACGGTTGCTGGGGACGATTGTCGGGAACATTTGTTGGGGTTGATTGTTTGGAAGATCTACTGAGGACGATTGTCGGGAACAGTTGTTGGGGATGGTTGTTGGGAAGAGTTACTGAGGACGATTGTCAGGAACAGTTGTTTGGGTTGGCTGTTGGGGACGGTTGTCAGGAACAGTTGTTGGGGATGATTGTTGGGAACAGTTACTGAGGACATATTGTCGGGAACAGTTGTTGGGGATGATTGTTGGGAACAGGTTGTTGGGGACGGTTGCTGGGGACGATTGTTGGGAACAGTTGTTGGGGATGGTTGTTGGGAACAGTTACTGAGGACGATTGGTGGAGAACAGTTGTTGGGGTTGGCTGTTGGGGACGGTTGCTGGGGACGATTGTCGGGAACAGTTGTTGGGGATGATTGTTGGGAACAGTTACTGAGGACATATTGTCGGGAACAGTTGTTGGGGATGATTGTTGGGAACAGTTACTGAGGACGATTATCGGGAACAGTTCTTGGGGTTGGCTGTTGGGGACGGTTGCTGGGGACCTATTCTAGCCTTGAATCCTCACATATAACCTCTTTGTTTGAAGTTTGGCACATGCACAAAATCATTTAGTCCCTGCTTCAGATAGAGGAGACAACTGGAATAGGTAATCAATATTTCAACCTTTTGTATAGGCGTTGCTCGGCAACAGACAACAGAGTTGCACTTCTTGGTGAGATTCAGAAAAGCCTTCTTGGAAGAGTTGTCATGTAAGGCAAAGGCAAGCGTCTTTCCGTCGATGATTAGAGCATACTCCTTCTCCTTGGCAGGTAGGCCGTCTCGGGATGGTGACGGCCGGTTCAGGTTGATCTGTTCAGTGTGATGGACGATCAAGTCTTTTGCTTCCTCCTACAGCACAGAAACATGACACTTCTTGAGATGAAAGGGAGGAAAAATGTGACAGAGGGGGACTGCTGAATAAGCTTGAAGGACACTCAAGGCCCTGTTAGCAATAAGTCGATTGTAACTCCAAATCTTCTATGTTGGGACATTTCGTGACATTCACCTCAAATATAGGATATATATCCTGTCGCAGCTAAGGGACACTACACAGCATCTTACCTGTGTGTTGCTATTGAGGGTGACTAGTTCCTGATTCAGGCGGAACAATGTGCTGGCAAAGGCAATCTCAATAACTGTCTCCTGTTAAAATGAAAATGATTACAATGCATTTCTTCAATGAGAAAAACATTTACATTTCTGATTCTTCCTGGAGAACAATATGGAATAACTGTGTTTAGGATACAGTCAGTCACAATCCGCATAAGCTTGAGTGAAGGTTTGGGGTTTTAGTGGGGTAAATTGATTTCTGAAGGCCCTTAGAGGGAACTCATTTTTTTATAAAAAAATTTGTTTTAAGTTATCCAACAAAATATTCATTTCCTGCACACCATCAAACAATCTGCGGAACAAATAACTTATGTTTAATATAGTGTACGTGTAACAATCCATTTTATTGTTTCCCAATATTCTTATCATTCCTGTTAATTAACCTGGATTAAATACCTGATTAATTTTCCAATTCGACAAATCCACTTTAATATTTTCAAGTTCAAACTACAGCTGAAGTAAACATTTTACACCAAAAGTAAACAGTATTTCTATAGCAGGTGAAACAATACAAGAATGGTATACAATGTCTTATGTGTTTATACAATGCTATGATATCTTAAGGAATTAATTTCTCTGAGGACAGCATTATTTTCATGTTTAAAGGCTACAGTAGATTCCGCTACAATTCGTAATCCAACATCTAATACTCGAACTGCTTCCTAGACCGAGGAAACAGACAAACCTGTTTGTCTCCTGTCAACACCCAAATGTTGATCCCTGCCTTCCGTAGTTTTGCTATCGTCTCCGGCACACCATCCTGAAGTCGGTCCTCAATACCAGTAGCACCTGGACCAATAAAAATGTAATTTTCTGAATAAAATTGATATTTTATACTTATCCTGACTCATGCTCTTTTGCTTGTCTTCTTCTTCTTGCGAACATAGAGGAACACTTGTATCTGCCTATTGAAGCTCCCTTCAATTGAAACATGCGTAAAATCACTAATCACTACTCACCAAGAGTTGCCCCTCTTTGCTCCCCCACTGGCGGGAAAGACGGCGCCACCAGTTGCCACATGCTTCACTCTCTCCTTATAACGAGCCCGACACTTGAATTTGAAGGGAAATCCAAAGTGTCATGTGGGGAGGATGGGAGGGCTTACTTCATGTGAGTCAGGATAAGTATAAAATATCAATTTTATTCAGAATTTTTTCCTTATCCTGACTCATGCTCTTTTGCTTGTAGAATCCGACGGTATCGGAGGTGGGAAAAAGATACTTTGGATTTCTATTAGTGACTTTACGTATAATAACCCCTTATGGGAACTTCATAATGGCACTGTAATTAAATAAATTGCTGCTGCTATCATACATAAGTTCTATCAGATGCCATAGATGGGGTATTTATGATATTATAATAATATAGAAATATGGCGACTCCAAAGTGGAGAGCAACCCAAGTTGTACAAGTAAAACGAGTTCTGGGCTTAAGACTAACATAGCCTTAAGTTATATATATAAACTAGTAAAAACTCCGTAGAGTTGTAAGCCGATAATTACATAAGTAATATAGTGAGACTATATCTCACCGTCTACGAGGAACTGTCAACTGCTGTGCGAGGACCAAGGGACCGAAATGGTGAATGCCTGAGACGTCCTCGGTGGCGATATCTCTCAGGTAGTGGTTAGCAAACACCATGTCCGATCTCCAAAAACAGCCCTCCATGACGGTATTCAACGAGCAATTTCCATGTAGAGCGAGTGTTGATGCTAGTGCTCTGATTTCATGAGGATTAGATGCTCTTGGAGGGTCGAGTCCTGCAGCCTTGTAGGCTCGTAGTATGACAGTTTGGATCCATATAGGTAGCGTAGTGCGAGAGACTTCGGTCTGTGTCGCTGTCGATAGAGGGATGAATAAGCGCTTGAACTTTCGACGCCTAGTTTTGGATCTTTGTAGGTAAACTTTGAGAGCTCTGACTGGGCATAGTGATAAGTCCAACGTATCATGGGGTCTAAGAACGGAGGAGAGTGCAGGGACGTGGAATTGTCTGTCCGGTTGACCTGGCCGCTGATTCTTGGCGATGAAATCCCATCGCAGTCCCATATGCACGTAGTTGTGGTTGTCGTCAAACCGTGTCCTCTCGTAGTCTAGAGCGTGTATTTCTGACATTCTGGCAGCCGTTGCTAAGGAGAGCAGAAACAAAGTTTTCTGTGTCAGGAATTCATACGATGTTGATTCCAAAGGTTCATAAGCCTCACTTGTGAGGCGTTGAAGTACGACATTTAGATCCCACGCAGGAGCAAGAAATCTCTGTTTCTGATCCTCCAATCGGAAAGAGCATAGCAACGTGAGTAACTCTGGTGTCTTTGGCACCCGTTCTCATAGTTATCACTGAACTTAGTGCTGCGAGGTACGTTGACGGTGTAGAGAATTTTAGACGTTTGGTTTGTCGTAGGTGACAGATAGTCCGCCACTTGAGGATGTGTAGCATTTCTCACTGTAAAACCCTTTTTAGCAGCGTATGTCTGAAAACTGTGCCACTTGTCATCATATAAGTTGCGAGTGGAATTGCGTAAAGCAAGCATGACTGCTTTCGCCGCTCTGGCTGAGTAACCTCTCTTGTTTAAGCACGCTTTAATACAGTCCATACGTGAAGTTGGAATGCTCCTGGGTTGACTTGCGCTTGTTTTGTGTGAGGATGTACGAGTAGTTCGAACTCCTTTGTAGTTGTAGCCTTGGTTGTCCGATTTCTTGTATTAGAATTGGAAACCATGTTCTCGCTGGCCAGTAAGGCGCGACCAAAATCAGTTGGAGGCTCAGAGTTTGTCTGATTTTCTGTAATACTCGTGGTATGAACGCTGGCGGCAGAAATGCATACGCGTTGAGGCCTTCCCAAGATATGCTTAAGTGCGTCCGTTGCCCACGCTTGTGGGTCTGGGACTGGTGAGACGAATGTTGTTAGCTGATTGTTGAAGCGAGTGGCGAATAGGTCTATTAATGGAGCTCCTATTTCCATGATAATCTGAGTGAAGATTTCTGGGTGGAGTTTCCATTCTGTTGGTGATGGTAGCTTTGGCCGAGAGCGTGCGTCTGCTAGTACATTCTTGGCTCCGGGAATGTGGCATGCTCTCACATGTATGTTTAGATCGTCGATCATGTCGAACAGTTGAAAGCATAGGGTTAGTAGGTTCAATGATCTTGTTGAGCCTTGCTTGTTTACGTAGAACGCCACTGTTGAGTTGTCAGTGTGTATCATGAGATGCGCATTCTGTAGAATGGTGCTCCAATGACGTAAGGCGTTGATTTCTGCTTTCATTTCGAGCATGTTGATATGCAGCTTGCTCTCTTCTTGGTTCCATAACCCTGCTGTCGTTTGGTTGTCGAGATGAGCTCCCCAACCTTGGAGTGATGCGTCGACATAGAGATGAGTCTTGAACTCTGGCTCTGTTAAATAGGTGCCTTCGCAAACATTCGACTTGTGGGTCCACCAAAGTAGATGAGGTCAGAGGTAACTCGGTAGACCGAAGGGTTGTAGGTCGTCGAGATGAGCGTTGATGAGGACCTGTAACGGGCGTAACTGTAGTCTGCCTCTGGTTGTCATGTTTTGTGCTGACGTTAGGAGACCCAACAGACTCTGCCTATGTCGTAGTGTCAACGGAGAGAGTAAGGCTTGAGGGATGGTCTGTTGAATCTTGAGCAAGCAGTCCTCTGGTACGACGATACGATTCTGGGCCGTTCGGAATCTGATGCCTAGAAATTGCAGGTCTTGCGTAGGTTCTAGGTCCGTTTTGAGTAGATTCACTAACCATCCTACCTGTGTTAGTAGGTTGATGGTGAAATTCAACTGTTGTTTGAGACGCTCTGGATCTTGATCTACTTGAATCCCGTCGTCGAGGTACAATGCACTGAGTAGCCCTTGACGATGTAGGTAAGTGACGATGGGTTTCGTTATTCTTGTAAACAACCAGGGGGCCGATGATATTCCAAATGGTAGGACCTTCCATAGGTAGTGTAGCCCGTCTAGTGTAAACCGTAGGTACTTCCTTGAGTCGGGAAGTATCGGGATATGCAAGTAGGCATCCTGTAGATCTATACTGGCCATGGAGTCCATCTGACGGACGAGTTGCAGTAGTTGAGGTAGGTGTATCATGCGAAAAAGTTGGCGGTTTGCGTAGATAGTCCCTGTTGAACGTGCTCATGTTGTAGATGAGTTGGAACTTTTCCTTGGAATTTTTCTTGGGCACTAGGAAAACTGGGGAGTAGAAACCTGGTTCGATGTTTACTTGATCCACGATTTCTATGGCCTGCTTGGTTAGGAGAGGTGATACAGCTTCTCGTAACTTCGGTAGTTGTTTTGCCTGGAAGTCGAACTTGTGAGGGTTGACTGTAAGTGGAGGCATAGCCTGTTGGAGACATATAGATCTTGTAGTATTCCCCAGTTCTCCCAGTGCAGTTGAAGGCATCCACCCACTTGTGAATGTTGTACAGGAAGGGCTGGGGGTAGAAGACTCCAGCCGTTCCGAACCCGACTTTCATCGACGATAGTTGCGGGAGCCTCTGGGTGTCCTGCCTCTTCCAGATCCTCCTCTGTAGTTGCCAGATGGGCGACGAAAAGCGTCCTTTCCACCTCTGGCGCCAGCCATCTTCCTGTCCTGTGCTCTCTGTAGACCAGGAAAATTAGATCTTCCGGAATATCTCTGTGATGTCTGCCTGATGACGCTGGCTAAGGTGTCAATAGACTTTATCATGAGGACTTCTCTAGAATCCTTGGTGACTTCCTTGGAGACTGTATCAATTCCTTCAGCGAAGATGGATGGTGTTGACGACGGGGCTGAGTAGAGCGGTGTAGTGAACTGTTCACCCCAACTGCAGTTGGCGAGGAGACCTTGACGACCAGCCAGAGTAAGAGCTGCGGAGATGGAAGAAAGGTGATCCATCATGAACTGTTGGTCCTTCTTCTGCATAAGGAGGGCCGAGTATACCATTCTGTCGTCTTCTGATGTGGAGTCTCAAAATCTAGTGATGAGAGTTTCGTTAATAGTACGGGATCTGTTGAGGCCGAAAAACATCCTTCTGGTCATAGTCTCGACTTGAGCCAGCTTGCGATCCTCTATTCTGTACGCCTTGGCCTTGGCATCGTTGATGACCTTAAAATTATCGTCGATATATCTTGTGCTTTCAGGAAAGGGTCCATGTTATGTGTGGAGAACTTCTTGGCGTTGAACTGTGGTGATCTGCGTGGAGACCTACGAGGAGATCGACGAGGAGACCGACGAGGAGATCGACGTGAAGAACGGAGAGGTGATCGACGTGGAGACCGGCCCGACGAGTAGCATCTATAAGGTGACCTTCGCGAAGGTGAGCGACGATAGCTTGGCGAAGCTCCTGGGGAATCCCTCGATGACCTCCTAGACGAAGATGACTTGGAGACTGTAACTGGTGTCCTTCGTGAAGGCCTTCGTGAAGCTTCATCTGAGTCTGCATCTGGGGAGTGACGTGTCCTTCGCGAAGGCCTTCGCGAAGCTTCAACTGAGTCCGGGGATGATAGGATCTTCCTTCGCGAACACCTTCGCGGACGCTGGTCATCGGAGTCCGAGGTAGATGGTTATCTAGATGTCCTTCGCGAAGGCCTTCGCGAATGCTGATCGTCTGGGTCCTTCGCAGAGGTGGGCTGTGACGTCCTTCGCGAAGGCTGGTCCCTCAGCGGTGACTTGTTAGCGGCCGCTACGTTGATGGGAGGTCCCTCAAGGTTGATGTCTACGTTGGAGCCTTCATGAAGGCTCGGACCCGGGGCTGGTTGTCTCTTCTCCAGACCTTAGCAGTTTTCCATCAACTTCATAAGTTGTTGGACCAGGTCGTCTGGGATGGTCTGCGAAGCTGTAGGAGCTGCCTTCTCTGCGTTGGTAGCGACGAGGCCCATGGGAAGATCGTCAGTCATCAGCGTTGATACATCAGGCTGGTTGAGGATCTGCGCAGACGTCACTGTAGCAGAAACAGGCTGTTTCTTTTCGACGAACATCGGGTATGATGAGCGGCTGCTGATCATACAGGCCCAGTTCTGTAGCGGGAACAATCTCGGCTGAGAAGGTTCTAGTCGTCTGCGTTGGTTTCTTGGTAGACGCTGCCCTGGGGGTGCGAAGTCTGCACTGAGAAGTCGATGCCTTCTTTGTCTTGGGCTGCGACGACGGGATGTCTGGTGATGCAGGACGCTTCTTGGAGACGGCGGACTGCATCCCACACCTCTCCTCCGAAGGAAACTCTAGCGGAACACCAGATGGTAGGGGGTCGTCCGACAGCAGTTGACTTGACAATGACTCAACCGCATTATCCATGCCTGGATATAACTTGCGTGACCTATCTGCTGCGCATCTCAAGACGCAAAGTAAATATTTATTAAAGGCAGAATTAGATAGATTATTACAATTACTGCAACGTGAACTGAATGAACATGGTACAGTACAACTAGGGCATATTAAATGCGGATCAGCAGCAGAGAAACGTAACTTGCAAACAGTACAGATTTTCATGAACGTAACCTACTGAACAATCACGGCATACACCGCGAATAAACAGCAGTAAATACGAGTAAATATCAAATCATATTGTTGAAGGATACTAGCTAAACCTCTATAAGATACGTGTAGAGGTAACTAAGTAAGAAAAATCAAAGGATATAGTGCCGTAGGGAGACACAGGCGCTCTACATCCTGTTCACTGGGCGAAGAAGGAGAGAGTGAAGCATGTGGCAACTGGTGGCGCCGTCTTTCCCGCCAGTGGGGGAGCAAAGAGGGGCAACTCTTGGTGAGTACTGATTAGTGATTTTACGCATGTTTCAATTGAAGGGAGCTTCAATAGGGAGATACAAGTGTTCCACTATGTTCGCAAGAAGAAGAAGACAAGCAAAAGAGCATGAGTCAGGATAAGGAAAAATCATTCCCTAATTAGGTTAACCTTAACTCCCATTCTTTAACATTGCGCTAAGGCGTGAGTCACTAAGGTAACCTTAGTGCAATGTTAAAGAATGGGAGTTAAGGTTAACCTTAGTAAAGGTTGCTTCGTGAAAGGAGCCCCAGATCACCTCAGCTTATCTCTACCCTACACAATAGCTCAGGAAGTATTCATTACGCAGGAATTCACGATGGACCCTGCAACACCTCATCGCACTGCATATACAGGGAACTATTAATGCAATTATATTACATCTGATTTTATAGACATAGGAAAACAGAAAAACCGTGAAAAGTCATATTATATTCATAACAGACACAATCTTGAACAAAACTACTTCCATGTGGATGACTGCCAATGAAATAGTAGTAGTAGTAGTGTTACCTGAGGGTGTCTGGGTGTTGTACCCTTCTCCCTAGGAATTCAAATACGAATTCATCAATGGCCATTGGTGCGCTCTCTCTCCGCTTCATATACTTCAATTCTCATAGGCACGGTCTCTCTCCGCTTCATATACATCAGTACTGATACTTTTGGGTACCCATATGAATTGACACGTGTCATAATAAAGTGGGACTTAGAAATATGTCTTACTATGTTATACTCAGAGATTCAGGAACATTTAGATCAGGAGTCTTATCGTTTGGTCTTGTGCTTCCGTTTCGCTTTTCCTTTCATTGTCCTTCTTTTCCTTTCATTGTCCTTCTGAAGTGGAAGTCTTCCACTATGTCTGCTGGGAGAAATTCCCATAGGATCTATTCACTTTCTGAGACACCTACATACCTAAACCTTGTACAATTTACCCCTGTAATCCAACATACATTCTCTATTGCTTCACTTAATTTAGTAAATCAGGCCACAGACGCATTTTACAATGAATGTATTGACAAAGAGGTTGATGTTGCGCCACCAGTGCATGTAGCAATGTTTGAGTACAACAAGTTATATCTGGTACAATATACACGTGAACATAAAATAGGTAGGTTATGCAATGAACAATTGCTTGCTCCTCATTTTAAGAGCAAAGAAAGTAAACTTGGCAAGATTATTAAGCGTGGAAGTATTTTTGGTGGTAAATAAAAGTTTACATTTACACTCTGAAGGAAAATTGTAGTAATAACTTGGCAGGAAATTTCTTCTACGGTCATTATAAAATGGACACACTAGACAGACATGGTATTCTGTTTCTACATTTGGGATGATACAAAACAGACAAAGCTCTTTCACTTTTAGGTATGCCTAATTTTCTACCCTGTGATATCATAAGATCACTTCAGAATGTACGAAATTGTGAAAGAGTAATCCTAAATGATGACTGCCAGTTCTGGCCGAGATTCATTGGACCTATTCACTCAACCTGAACCACAACTAATCTAATTAATCCTCTGAAGTGGTATAGTTTGATCATGGAAAAACGTTTGTGTCTAACTCACCCAGTAGATCAAGTTCCTCTTCTATCCGACATGCAGAGTCACGAATCTTTATCTCACGGTCCTCCAGCGAAGACTCCGCCTCCTGATGCATCTTGAGCCAATCTTTATAGACTTCTTGACTTAATGTCTACGATAGACAATACACAACACTTAGTCTTTCAATGTGATGTGATGTGATGTGAAATTGGGTTTAAAGTCGTGCTTAAGAATATTTCGCTCATATGACGACGTGCATGCGTGTGTTTGTGTATGTGCGGCTGCTTGTACTAGCCCAGACTGAAGCTGGTTTTATAGTGCTAGCCCACTGAGATACCATGCCGAAGTGAAGCATGAATACCCCACTCAGACACATTATACTGACTCTGAGCCGACCAGTCCTTGTTGTACCCATTAATGCCGAGCGCCAGGCAGGGACCAACAAGTTCCATATTTTAACATCTTTTGGTATGATGCGGTCAGGAATCGAACCCGCGACCTTCCGCTCTCCGGGCGGACGCTCTAACCACTACACCACGGAGGCGGCAGTCTTTCAATGTAAATTGTTTACAAACTTTATGCATAATTATAGTGGCCTGTCACCATTTGTCATTAAAGGCTAAAAATATTCAATAACTGCACTGAATTTTGTATATTTTGATAAATACATATAGCTTTGAATAGACCTTTCTAAAAAACAAGATATAAAAAGACCCAGCATATATACGATTGTCTCTAGGTATTATAGAAATAAATAAAAAAGTAATACGTATGGAAGTTGGTCACCAAGGTCAATAATGTCAGGTTTATGACTGACTGACTGAGTATGGTTTTACGCTGCTTTTAGCAATATTCCAGCAACATCACGGTGGGGGACACACAAAATGGGCTGTCAGGTTTAGGAAAACATCTAATAATTAGATACTAATATTATTTTACAGATTAAAAATAATATACAGCAGAGAGGGTTCAGGTGCTCCTGGTACAGTCAGACTGATGTTATTCTTCTTCTTAATTTTTCATAACATTTCTCGGCACTTCTGCCTTGTTATTTATAATGTAAGTCAATAATATATATGTGCCGGACCAAAGCGGTCAATGTGCATTTCTTTTGACCATCATGTGACCACTTCTAGTCCAATCAAAACAGAGGAAATATTCCCTTCTCTACTTACCCGTTTTGCCATGCAGAGTGTTCTCAGTCCTTTCATAGCATAATCCGTAATGTGCTCCTCTGTTTTCACTCGGACAGCCTTCTCCTCCGTATCATTCACTGGCAAAGCAAACACAAGAACATTAGAAAGTGGTGAACATGGTTCATTCTCTATACTTGTTGTTTACTGACCACTTAGCAATATGCTAGCCATACAACGTTGGCCTGTAAATAATAAATCTGGTTCCTACATGTAAATTACTGATTCAAATATGTTCCAAAAATATGATCGTAAGGTTTCCATTTCACTTATATCTTCATTATTAGATACCTATATTTCCTTATTTACCCTTTCTTATTTACAGTACTACACATTGCCTAAAAAGATTCCATATGAAGGAACTTCTTAATGTTATTATAATAGTGAATTAATTCAGAAATCTTTCTTGTAGGTTTATGAAATCGCCTGTCTTCCAAGGCATATGCTGCTGAGGGCCTGTCTAAACTTGAAGTCCCCACTTGGTTAGAAGGCAGAGTATTCATTTATGCTATCATCAATTCAGTATAGCAAATGTAATGCAATATTATCATGGAATTGTGTCTGTGATGTTTGAAATGAAGTAGCTAATGTTTGGTTGGTTTGTTGTTTAATGCCACACTCAGCAATATTCCAGCAACATGGCAGTTGTCAATAGAATCTGGACCAGACAATCCAGTGATCAATAACACTAACATCAACCTACGCAAGCGGGATACGATGACACGTGTCAGCCAAGTCAGAGAGCCTGACCATCCGATCCCGTTAGTAGCCTCTCACGATATGCATGGGTTACTGAAGACCAATTCTAACCAGGATCTTCACAGGTCCAAATAGGCAATGATTCCCTAATTAGATTTGGTGTAATATAATGATTTGTCCAGACGTAAGTTTGAAATTGTTACTGACCAGACTCTACCTTAAACATGTTATACAGAGATATTTTTTCCCATTTGTCAGTTCTGTGAACAATGACTTACTTCTGAATTTTCTGTCAAGGACACTGAGTATTGAAGAGTCAGCTCCCTTGACATACAGAGTTATCTCCTCTGTTTCTGGGTGCTTGATGATCACAGACATTCGCTTGCGGACTGAGTCGAAGCTGAGAATATGGAGCACCTCAAACTCCACTTCCCCGTCGCCTGGAGACGATATACAACAGGTAACATGTGTTATCAGGTGTACACGACAAAGTGAGTTCGTTGGTGGAATAGTTAGTAAAGAAAGAGTTACTGAAAAGTGAGTGAGTGAGTGGATAAGAGTGATTAGGTTGGTGAGAGCGAGTGACTGAGTCAAAGAGTTCTTTGGTGGAATAGTTAGTAAAGAAAGAGTTACTGAAAAGTGAGTGAGTGAGTGAGAGAATGGATAAGAGTGATTAGCTTGGTGAGAGCGAGTGACTGAGTCAAAGAGTTCTTTGGTGGAATAGTTAGTAAAGAAAGAGTTACTGAAAAGTGAGTGAGTGAGTGGATAAGAGTGATTAGCTTGGTGAGAGCGAGTGACTGAGTCAAAGAGTTCTTTGGTGGAATAGTTAGTAAAGAAAGGGTTACTGAAAAGTGAGTGAGTGAGTGAGTGGATAAGAGTGATTAGCTTGGTGAGAGCGAGTGACTGAGTCAAAGAGTTCTTTGGTGGAATAGTTAGTAAAGAAAGAGTTACTGAAAAGTGAGTGAGTTAGTGAGTGAGTGAGTGGATAAGAGTGATTAGCTTGGTGAGAGCGAGTGACTGAGTCAAAGAGTTCTTTGGTGGAATAGTTAGTAAAGAAAGAGTTACTGAAAAGTGAGTGAGTGAGTGAGTGAGTGGATAAGAGTGATTAGCTTGGTGAGAGCGAGTGACTGAGTCAAAGAGTTCTTTGGTGGAATAGTTAGTAAAGAAAGAGTTACTGAAAAGTAAGTGAGTGAGTGAGTGGATAAGAGTGATTAGCTTGGTGAGAGCGAGTGACTGAGTCAAAGAGTTCTTTGGTGGAATAGTTAGTAAAGAAAGAGTAACTGAAAAGTGAGTGAGTGAGTGAATAAGAGTGATTAGGTTGATGAAAGCGAGTGACTGAGTCAGTGAGTTCGTTGGTGTGAGAGTGAGTAAAGAAAGAGTTACTGAAGGGGTGAGCGAGTGACAGGTTGAATTAGCAAGTGTCGATGGTGTCCGATGGTTGGGTTGGTGTGAGTGACTGCAGGGTGTGAGTGAGTGACTGCAGGGTGAGTGAGTGTGTTATTGACTGAATGGTTGTGTGGAAGTGTGGGTGTTGTGTTGGAGTGAGTGAGTGAATGAGCCATACTTTGTTACATACAGTTGGATTACACTTATTTATCATGGTATAACCAATGTGATACGTTAACATACGTATGTTAATGTTAAAAAGTTACAATTGTCAAACAATATGGAGCATATATATGATACTTATACCTGAAAGTGATATATTACATACATCTTTTATTACATTACAATATCATTACCCAGGCAGTCACATGTCTTTCAGTCTATCGAACCTAGCCATAACAATAAGGCTGACGGAAAATTCTGGTGGAAATGATCCAGACAGATCCAGCCAGTTTACTCAAACAATTAGACTAAGATGAGACTGTGTCGGTCAAGGTGTGCATCTAGTGAGTGCTGAACATACCTGGTAAAAACACTGACACTCTCTCTGGAGAACGTTGTAGCAACCGACAGCCGTAGGTACTAGCCGCCTTGACCAAAGCAAGTTCATCTGGACTCTCAGCTTCATATCGAGTCCGCTGTGAGGATAAACAATGGGACTGGGACTTTTAGCACTCATGTCTGCTGGGAATGGGATGTTATGGGTTGGCTAGTTGGGTTGTTTGTTGTTTAATACCGCACTCAGCCATATTCAAGCTATATGGCGGCAGTCTGTAAATAATCGAGTCTGGACCAGACAATCCAGTGATCAACTGCATGAGCATCAATCTACACAATGATGACATGACATAGGGAACTAAACCTAGGTCTTTGGCATGATGTGTAAACACTTTACCTCTAGGCCACCCCACCACCCCCATCACACATCTGGAATTCTATCTCGGACACATGATACCACTTATAACAAATGGATTTATGATCCACAGGTGTGTAAGACATTTTAGAGTTTACTCACCTCGTCCTGATGTGGGTGATGCGATACCATGACTGTGTTGCAGACGGCCATCAGCAGGAAAAACTCCTGCACTCGCTTCACATGCTCTGGGATGGTCCGCTCCACACTGTCCAGGCTCCGCAGACACATGTTGGACAGCTCCCTCTTCAGGGCGGGCTCCATCGGAAGATTCTCATATATCTGGATCAGTTTAGAAATGGAGTGAGTGAGTGGGAAAGAGAGAGTGAGAGTGAGAGAGTGCGCTGCTTTGAAGAAAATTTGCGGCTGCTCTGAATAGTATTTTCATCACTACATGTGAGATTTACTGCACTTGAATGATAAAGTGATGCTGTTTACACCTTTGCTGAAACCCTCAAGCACAGGTACGGTACTGGCTAACTTAGATACTAAGGCTGTTACGATTCATTCACTTATTCAGGGAATGGACCGGAATCCATTCATTAATTCAGTTTTATATACGTAATCACAAGAATTGAATATTCATTAAGTATTTTTTTCACTTGGTTGTTGGGTGTTATTTATCAAAACAAGGTATGCAAAACAGAATACATCCTAGCCAGACAGGATAACAGCCAACACTCTTATATATTTAATCCTAATGTAATATGGTTACTATTCATTGTTGCAATAAATCTACACTGTCAAAACATGTCAAATAACTAACATGAACTTGTTACTGTATTCATGATATAATATTCGTATTTATTACCCCGTAATCGTGATATGTATCATATTCAGCTCCTAGTGGATTCATTGCAGCCTACTTTATACATACTGAGTACAAATAAGTCATTCCAATCAATTATCACGCAAAGCAATGAAAGGGAGGTAACTCTAGACAGCAAATTATAGACAGGGCCATGATGGATCATGTACAACTACACACTGGAGATCACATGAAGCCAATCATGTACACTTTCAGTTAATCATTTAATGTAATTAAATTGCATACATCCTCAGAATGAAATAAGAGAAAAAAAAAGAACTGTTTTTTTATTAAATCCCCTCCACTTGCTGTACATTTAAATCAAATGGGTATAATGAACTACTGTTTTATACAGAGACCTTATACCAAATATGGTCTCTGTTAATGTAATTTTCTGAGTAAAATTGATATTTTATACTTATCCTGACTCATGCTTATTTGCTTGTCTTCTTCCTCTTGCGAACATAGTGGAACACTTGTATCTCCTTATTGAAGCTCCCTTCAATAAAACGTACGTAAAATCACTACTCACCAGAGTTATCTCTGTTTCCGGTTTTGGCGGGAAAAGTGGCGCCACTGTTTTCCCACGCTTCACTCTCTCCTGATAATGAGCCCGACACTTGAATTTGCAGGGGGAAATCCAAAGTGTCTAGTGGGGAGGTTGGGAGGGCTTACCTCATGAGTCAGTATAAAATATCAATTTTATTCAGAAAATTACATATTTTTCCTTATCCTGACTCATGCTTATTTGCTTGTAGAATCCGACGGATTTGGAGGCTGGAAAAATACTTTAGGATTTCATGTAGTGATTTACGTCAATATATACCCCCCTATGGGAACTTCATATTGGCACTGTGCTAATCTCTGCTGCTGTTTGTGACCCTGTCCTTTCAGCTGCCTTTTGATGGGGGGGACCACAATTGTTAACTTTTGGTCCTTTCTTTTGTTAACATTTATATGTGGATTTTGCGACTCCATTCCTGTACGAGTATTCTTACAAGTACTGGGTCATATCACTTATGCTGGTCGTTAGACGTGCATTTAGACCTAAGCAGAACTCTGCTGAGTGTAGGCTTGGTAAGTCATGTGATAAAAGAGCGAGGCTTCGTCTCAGCGTCTTTGAGAAACTGTCAACTGTTGTGCGACAACCAGTGGGCCGAAATGGTGAATGCCTGAGACGTCCTCGGTGGCGATATCTCTCAAGTAGTGGTTTGCAAACACCATGTCTGATTTCCAGAAGCAGCCCTCCATTATCGTCTGTAACGAGCAATTCCCATGTAGAGCGAGTGTTGACGCCAGAGCTCTAACTTCGTGTGGGTTGGAGGCTCTTGGAGGATCAAGTCCTGCTGCCTTGTAGGCCCGTAGTATGACAGTTCTGATCCAGATTGATATCGTAGTGCAGGAGACCTCCGTCTGTGTCGCTGTCGCTTGAACTTGCGTCTCCTAGTTCTGGATCGTTGTAAATATATTTTCAATGCTCTCACTGGGCACAAAGATAAGTCATGGGTATCTTGTGGTTCGAGGACGGAGGATAATGCTGGGACGTGAATTGTCTGTCCGGTTGACCTGGCAGTTGATTCTTTGCGATGAAATCCCATCGTAGTCCCATATGCACTGTGTTTTGATTTTCATCAAAGCATGTTCTCTCGTAGTCTAGAGCATGTATTTCCTGGTGAGATGTCGTAGAACAACGTTGAGGTCCCACGCCGGAGCTTTGAATCTCTGTTGTTGGTCCTCCAATTTATAAGAGCGTAACAAGGCCAGTAACTCTGGTACTTTCGTTAGCTTGCCACCTGTCCTCATAGTGATGACTGAGCTCAATGCCGCTAGGTATGTTGAAAGCGTAGACCCTATTAGCCGCTTTGTTTGCCGTAGGTGACAAACGTAGTCCGCCACTTGAGGGTGTGATGCTTTTCTAGCTGAAAAACCGTTTCTGGCAGCATATGTCTCGAAGCTTCGCCACTTGTCGTCGTACAAGTTGCGTGTTGACTTGCGTAAAGCTAGTGTCACAGCTTTCGCTGCTCTGGCGGAGTATCCTCTCTTGTTCAAGCACGCCTTGATACAGTCCACACGTGTAGTTGGAATGTCCCTGGGTTGCCATGCACCTGCTTTGTGTGAGGATGTACGAGTAGATTTGACCACTCTGGTAGTTGCAGCTGTGGTGGTCCTAGTTCTTGTATGAGAATGGGGAACCACATTGTCGCTGGCCAGTAGGGCGCGACCAAAATCAGTTGGAGGTTCCTTGTCTGGCTGATTTTCTGCAACACCCTCGGTAGTAGCGATGGCGGTGGAAACGCGAAAACGTGTTTAGTCCTTCCCAGGATATGCTGAGAGCATCCGTTGCCCACGCTCGTGGATCTGGTACTGGAGAAACGAATGTTGTCTGCTGATTGTTCAAACGTGTGGCGAAGAGGTCTATCAGCGGGGCTCCTATCTCCTTGATGATCTGTTTGAAGATCTCGGGATGTAGCATCCATTCCGTCGGGGTTGGTTGAGTTGGACGGGATAGTGCGTCTGCTATGACATTCCTGGCTCCAATGGAGTATGGCGTTGATGACTGCTTTCATTTCCAGCATGTTGATGTGCAGACTTTCCTCTTCCTTGGTCCATTTCCCGGCTGCCACATCATTGTCGAGATGTGCTCCCCAACCTTGGAGTGACGCGTCCACATACAGATGAGTCTTGCACTCCGGCTCTGCTACAGAGATGCCTTCGCAGACATTCGCTCTCTGGGTCCACCATAGTAGATGAGGTCTGAGGTAGTCCGGGAGACAGAAGGGTCTGGGTCGTCGAGATGAGCATTGATGAGGACCTGTAACGGGCGTAGCTGTAATCTCCCTCTGGCTGTCATGTCTTGTGCAGACGTGAGGAGACCCAACAGACTCTGCCACTGTCGTAGTGGCCATGGAGAGAGTAGGGCTTGTGGGATTGTCTGTTGAATCTTGAGCCATCGGTCCTCTGGTACGACGATGCAGTTCTGCGTCGTGAGAAATCTGATGCCTAGGAACTGCAGGTCTTGCATAGGTGCTAGGTCCGACTTGAGTAGATTCACTAACCACCGCAGCTGTGTAAGCAGTTTGATGCTAAAGTTCAACTGTAGTCTGAGATGCTTGGGATATTGATGTACTCGAATCCCGTCGTCGAGGTAAAAGGCACTGCGTAGACCTCGATGATGTAGATATATGACTATTGGTTTCATCACCCTTGTAAACAACCAAGGGGCCGATGATATTCCAAATGGCAGGACCTTCCATTGGTAATGTAGCCCATCCAGTGTAAACCTGAGGTACTTCCTCGAGTCTGGATGTACAGTAATATGCAGGTCGTTCTGTAGATCTATGCTTGCCATGTAGTCCATCGGACGGACGAGGTGGATTAGTTGAGGTAGATGTATCATGCGGAACCTGGGAGGTCGTCTCTGTTGAACGTGCTCATATTGTAGATGAGTCGGAACTTTTCTTTGGAGTTTTTCTTGGGCACTAGGAAAACTGGGGAGTAGAAACCTGGGGTGATGTTGGTTTGATCTACGACCTCTATGGCTCACTTTACTAGTAGAGATTAGACCGCCTCTCATAACTTCTCTATCTGATGAGTCTTGAAGTCGAACTTGTGAGGGTCGACTGTAAGCGGTGGAGCGGCCTGTATGCGATATCCGTTTCTTAGGATGTTGGATACAAACGGATCTTGAAGTATTCCCCAGTTTTCCCAGTGTAGCTGAAGGCATCCACCCACTTGTGAAGGTTGTACAGGAACGGCTGGGGGTGGAAGACTCCAGTCGTTCCGAACCCTTCTTTGATCGTCGATAACTCTTGGCGCCTCTGGGTGCCCTGCCTCATCCGGACCTTGCTCTGTAGTTGCCGGCTGGGCGACGAAAGGAACTTTTTCCGCCTCTGGAGCTACCCACTACCCTGTCTACCCTGTCTTGTCCCGTGCTCTCTGTATCCCAGGAAACTTGGACTTGCCCGAGTAGCGCTGGGATGTTTGCCTGATGACGCTGGCCAGGTATCTATGGACTTGATCATAAGGACCTCCCTTGAGTCTTTGGTAACTTCCTTGGCAACTTCGTCGATTCCTCCAGCGAAGTTGGAAGGAGTTGACCACGGGGCTGTGTAGAGTGACTTGGTAACGTGGTCACTCCAACTGCAGGAGGCGAGGAGACCTTGTCGACGTGCCAGTGTCAGCGCTGCGGAGATGGATGAGAGATGGTCTGTCATAAACTGTTGGTCCTTCTTCTGCATAAGGAGAGCCGAATATATCATCCTATCTTCTTCCGCAGTAGAATTTAGCGATGAGCGTTTCGTTGACTGCCCTTGATCTGTTGAGGCCAAAGAACATGCGCCTGGTCATAGTTTCAACTTATGCCAACTTGTTTCAAAAAAGTTTCAACTTTTTGTCTTCAATGTTGTAAGACTTGGCCTTGGCATCACTGATGACTTTGAAGTTCTCATCGATGTCCTGTGCCTTCAGGAATGGATCCATGTTGTGGAAGGAGAACTTTTTGGCGTTGAACTGTGGTAGATGCGGCGCCTGGGCTTTTGTGGCTGACTTGAAGGCTGCATCCAGGTTCTCTGGGACCGCTGCGATGGGATCAATCAGAGGGAGAGTGATCGTGTTGACATCATCATCCTGCATGAGATAGGTGTGAGCCAGATTATCATCCTTAGATGGAGATGCCAAATCTAGACCGTTGGCCATCCAGTAGCGTATTTCAGCGTCCGAAAAGATGATCCCGCTGTCATCCTCAATGACATGAGTGTTGAGTAAGGGACGTTGATCCTCCTCCGATGGTGATCGAGGTGGAGTCCTTCGCGACTGCGGTGACCTGCGCGGAGACCTCCGCGAAGACCTGCGCGGAGACTTGTGTGGTGAACTGCGCGGAGACCTGCATGGACATCGGCATGGTGAGTGGCCCGGCGAACTGCGCCTGTAGGGTGACCTGCGCGGAGATGAGCGACTGTGGGTTCGCGAATGTCTCGGCGAATCCCTCGACGATCTGCGTGATGCGGAAGATGTCTTGGATACTGTATCTGAAGTCCTTCGCGAATGCCTTCACGAACGCTGATCATCTGATTTCGCATCTGGGGAATGGCGACTGGTCCTTGGCGAACGCCTTTGCGAACGCTGGTCGTCCGATTCTGTATCCGGGGATGGGCGATTCCTCCTTCGCGAATGCTGATCGTCCGAATCCGTAGCAGGCGATGACCGAGTTGTCCTTCGCAAATGCCTTCGTGGATGCTGATCATCCGGGGATGGTTGAGTGGACCTTCGCGCAGGCTGGTCCTGAAGTGCAGATCTGCTGCTAGATGCCACGTTGATGTAGGGCCCCTCAGAGACGACGTCTGCGTTGGAGCTTTCGTGAAGGCTCGGGACCTCTTTGTGGGATGGCTGTGACTTCTTCTCCAGGCCGTAACGCTGCTCCATCATCTCCATGATTTGTTGGGAGAACTGCTGCATAAAATCCCCTGGGTTGAAGGTCTTCGGTGGTAGTAGCGCTGCCCTTTCTGCGGTGATAGTGACGTGGCCCACAGGATGCTCATCTGTTGTCAGCGTAGATACCTCGGGTTGCGTGGAGATCTGCGCTGAAGTCACCGTAGCTGAGACTGGTCTTTTCTTGGGATGAACCTCTGGGATGATGATCGGTTGATCATCGTAGAGTCCCTGTTCCGTCAACGGGACAATCTCGGCTGAGAAAGTCCATGTTGTCTGCACTGACTTCCCCCGTGGTGGTGGTTGATGCCCTGGGGGTGCGGAGTCTGCGCCGGGTGGTTGACGATTTCCGAGTCTTAGGCTGAGACGACGGGATGTCCGGAGTAGCAGGTCTCTTCTTGGAGGTGGCAGACTTCGTCCCACGCCTCTCCTCAGAGGGAAATTCCAGCGGAACACCAGACGGAAGGAGGTCGTCAGACAGCAGTTGACTGGTGAGGGACTCCGCTGATTTATCCATGACTGGACCAACCCGTCTAGACCTATCTGCAGCACGTCTAAGGACGCAAAGAAGGTATTTATTAAATGCACAAGTAGTTAAATGCTTGCAACTGATGCAGCGGGAGCAGAGAAACGTAATCAACGTGATGCAGCTAGGGCACAATTGATGAGGGTCAGCAGCAGAGAAACGTAATCTACAATTGGAACAGTTTTTCATGAACGTAAACAACTGCACAAACACGGACTCAACAGTGCTAAATACGATTAAATATGAAACCATATTGTTGAAAGATACTAGCTAAACCTCTATACAGTATAATAGAGGTGACTAACTAAGTAATAAAAGGATATAGTGCCGTATAGGAGACAAGGTGCTCTCACAACTTGCTCAATGGGCGAAGAAGGAGAGAGTGAAGCGTGGGAAAAAGTGGCGCCACTTTTCCCGCCAAAAACGGAAACAGAGATAACTCTGGTGATTAGTGATTTTACGTACGTTTTATTGAAGGGAGCTTCAATAAGGAGATACAAGTGTTCCACTATGTTCGCAAGAGGAAGAAGACAAGCAAATAAGCATGAGTCAGGATAAGGAAAAATTAACAAACTAGAATAAGTAGTCCCTTTTAGTTCCTCACAACTCTTGTTTAGACCAGATCAATTCTATTTTTTGTTTTACGGATTTTTGTCCTCAGAAAACCTGAAGGCATGAGGGAAAAAAATTAAAAATAAAATCACCAGTCAATGTAATATTCCTTCTAAATGCTAAAATTATTTTACTTTTGGGAATTGATGAAATGCATATGGGGCAAAAAGCAATCTAAATGAAGTTTTCTTGTAAGTCTACATGTTTGGCCAATTAAAACATCAGAATTTTTTTTCAAACGGGGAAAATTAATTTTATATTTTTTTCTTATTCTTGAAAAAATACGACCAGCAGATGCATAAAACAAGAAATAAAATTGGTCTGGCCTTAGTGTACATCAATATGTTTTGCGGTTACAAGGCATAAATATACAAAAAAATATAGATGTCCATACTCTGCACATACACATATCTGATCTACACAAAGTGTGGACACTGATGTTTTGCTTCAAAACATTTACAGGCAGCTATCATATAGCTTGAACAATGCTGAGTCCAGCATAAACAATGACATGATAATTTACATGATAAAGATTTACTATTTTAAACATTTCTTACAGAAAAAAGGGATGGAGTATATAATTGTCTAGAAACTATTACTAATTTTCTTCAGTTTCACTGATGTTTGAACCATATTTATTTACTACTGTTAATCTCTGAAAAAAACTATAATTGTTGAATTCAATATAAATTAATTGAATGATAGGCATATCTTTGACAAGCTTTCCACACCCATGTCAATTTTCGAAGTGTGTGTTCTATACAACAAATACAAAATCTACGTTCATCACGCCTTGGGGATACCTTGTTTGTAATGGACACACAAAAATCTATATGTATCGACAGGTAGATCGCATGTCAACCTTCTCCCAGACCATTGTGACACAGCTATTGCCGAGTGTGATCTCCTCACACCAAACAAAAGAATCTGAATTACTTTACTACCATTATAAAATCAATGACAGAACATATAAGATATGGATCCTAGTCCAGTGTTTTGTCAAGGCAGAAGGTTTCTTGCAATAATTTGTTGATTGTTATGTAGTATTAATTCTCATTGCAACATCGGGCGATTTCTTTTATCTGAAATTGGTTATGGCTTCGTAACGTCACACGGTGACACAATTCAAAAAGAAATTCTATAACACGTAGCTTTGTATACAATTGTGTGAAATCTAGTTAAAAAGCAAAACAAAGTTATAATTTTAGAACTAGTACTTTGAAGAGACAAAAAAGACATTGATCAGCTACAAGCTGTTGAGGCTGAATAAAAGACACCTAGGAAGCTTCTGTTGTTGCAATATGGTACATATGAGAAACATTCCATGAGAGTGAGCGGGTTTAGTTTTATGCCGCTTTTAGCAATATTCCAGCAATATCACGGTGGGGGACACCAGAAATGGGCTTCATACATTGTACCCATGTGGGGAATTGAACCGGGTCTTTGGTGTGACAAGCAAATACTTTACCACTACGCTACTCCACCACGACTTCTCCATGAGAGATATCCTGTGTATGGCTGACATTTTTTGTGGAATCTGAGTCTACATCAACAAACAGCATATTTACACTTTTATATGATCTCTCACAGTGTGGCCATGTGAGTTTTGAAAATGACCCGTATGCATTTCTGCAGAACAGGTCCCTGGCACCCACCTGCCAGGTTTATGCTCAGAACACTGCTGGTATAATGAAGGCATAACAAGCATGGAGAGAGTGCTTGTGAGTGAGTCAGTATGCCGCTTTTAGCAATATGCCAGCAGAATCACGGTGGGGGACACCAGAAATGGGCTTCACACATTGTACCCATACGGGTTATCAAACCCGAGTATTCGGCTAGACGAGCGAACGCTTTAACCACTAGGCTACTCCACTATGGACACTAACTAACTTTTCTTTAAAATATTTTTAAAATTAATTTTTATGTGGACTCCACTCTTAGGTTTTGTTTGAAAAAGTAAGGAAAATTGGGGAGGGTCAATAGGAATGAGTGAGTGAATAAATAAATATAATCTATGTTTTCAGTGGGTAAGCGGACGCTTTAACCATAAACCACTACCAAATCGCCCCGAGCAAGCCTACTACCAAATGTCCTGACTTTTCATGGCTGATACACTATATCAAGATCAATGATATTCCAATTCTTTCTATTATTGGTTCAACTTTAAATATCATTTGTTCAACAAAGCAATAAGTAGCAAACACAAACTTCAAGCAAAATATATCCGTTTTCAGAAAAAATCTTTTTAAGAACCGTCAGTCTAGTTGACAAAATCAACATTCTAATAAAACCATGCTATTTTGAAAACATGTATGTTTTGTGTCAGTTTGTACTGACAAAAATATTGTGTATCAAATACGACTTGTGAAAGAGACAATTTAGTGTGTATTACAGTATCAGTATGTCACATCTAATTCCTGTGTCAAACTCTGTCAATCAATCAGAAAATTAACATTGCAGTTGATAATTTAGGATGACACATCAGCCAACATGATCCCCAACACACACATCCACATCAGTTCATTGTGCTTCAAATATGCTGATTCAGCATATAATTGAATATTCTACCCAGGTGTGGTGCAGTGTGCTCCATAATAATGTAATTTTCTGAATAAAATTGATATTTTATACTTATCCTGACTCATGCTCTTTTTGCTAGTCTTCTTCTTCTTGCGAACGTAGAGGAACACTTGTATCTCCCTAATTGAAGCGCCCTTCAATTTAAAATCACTAATCAATACTCACCAAGAGTTGCCTCTCTTTGCTCCCCTTTTGGCGGGAAAGGTGGCGCGACCACATCCCACATGCTTCACTCTCTCCTGTTTAACGAGCCCGACACCTCATGAGTCAGGATAAGTATAAAATATCAATTTTATTCAGAAAATTACATATTTTTCCTTATCCTGACTCATGCTCTTTTTTGCTTGTAGAATCCGACGGAATCGGAGGTGGGAACAGATACTTTGGATTTTAATTAGTGATTTAGATGTAATAACCCCCTATGGGAACTTCATAATGGCACTGTAATTAAATTAGTTTCTGCTGCTATCATACATAAGTTCTACCAGCTGCCATAGATGGGGGTACTACAATATTAAAATAATATAGGAATAAGCGACTCCGAAGTGGAGAAGCGACCCAATAGTACATGTAACATAGGTACTGGGTTTTAAGACTAATGTAGGCTTAAGATATACAACTAGCAAAAAACTCCGTAGAGTTTGTAAGCTTGATAAATACTGATATAGTATATACAGATATAATCTCGTGAGACTATGTCTCATCGTCTACGAGGAACTGTCAACTGCTGTGCTAAAACCAATGGTCCGAAATGGTGAATACCTGAGACGTCCTTGGTGGCGATGTCTCTCAGGTAGTGGTTAGCAAACACCATGTTGGATTTCCAAAAGCAGCCCTCCATAATGGTATTCAACGAGCAATTTCCATGTAGAGCGAGTGTCGAAGCCAGTGCACTGATTTCATGAGGATTAGATGCTCTTGGAGGGTCGAGTCCTGCAGCCTTGTAGGCTCGGAGTATGACAGTTCTGATCCATATCGATATCGTAGTACGTGAGACTTCAGTCTCAGTCACTGTAGATAGAGGGATGAATAACCGCTTGAGTTTTCTTCCCCTCGTTTTGGATCGTTGTAAATAAACTTTGAGTGCTCTCACTGGGCATAATGATAGATCAAGCGTATCATGAGGTCCAAGTATCAAGGAAAGTGCAGGGACGTGGAATAATCTGTCTGGTTGACCTGGCATTTGATTCTTGGTCGATAAACTCCCATCGCAGTCCCATATGCACTGTGTTTTGATTCTCATCAAAACATGTTCTCTCGTAGTCTAGAGCGTGGATTTCTGATACTCTGGCTGCCGTTGCTAGGGATAGCAGGAACAGTGTTTTCTGAGTCAGAAATTCGAACGATGTTGATTCCAGTGGTTCATAAGCCTCACTTGTGAGGTGTTGGAGCACTATATTTAGATCCCATGCTGGAGCGCGAAATCTCTGTTTCTGATCCTTCAATCGGAATGAATGTAGTAAGGCCAGTAACTCTGGCGTCTTCGTTAACTTGACACCCATACTCATAGTTATCACTGAACTTAATGCTGCGAGATACATAGATAGTGTCGAGCCTTTTCGACGTTTGGTTTGTCTTAGGTGACAAAGGTAGTCTGCCACTTGAGGCTGTGAAGCATTTCTAGCTGTAAATCCCTTTTTAGCAGTGTATGTCTCAAAACTGTGCCACTTGTCATCATACAAGTTGTGTGTAGAGTTGCGCAAAGCAAGCGTGACTGCTTTTGCCGCTCTGGTTGAATAACCTCTCTTGTTTAAACACACTTTAATACAGTCCATACGTGAAGTTGGAATGCTCCTCGGTTTTTGTGCGCTTGTGTTGTGTGAGGATGTACAAGTAGATTCGAGCGCTTTGGTAGTTGTAGTATTGGTTGTCCGATTTCTTGAATTAGAATGGGAAACCACGTTCTCGCTGGCCAGTAGGGCGTGACCAAAATCAGTTGGAGGCACTGAGTTTGTCTGATTTTCTGTAACACCTTTGGTATTTGCGCTGGCGGCGGAAACGCATACACGTTGAGGCCTTCCCAGGATATGCTTAAGGCGTCCGTTGCCCATGCTTGTGGATCCGGGACTGGTGAGACGAATGTTGTTAGCTGATTGTTGAAGCAAGTGGCGAATAGGTCTATTAATGGAGCTCCTATTTCCATGATAATCTGAGTGAAGATTTCTGGGTGGAGTTTCCATTCCGTCGGTGACGGTAGATATGGCCGAGAGAGTGCGTCTGCTAGTACATTCTTGGTTCCGGGAATGTGGCATGCTCTGACATGTATGTTTAGATTGTCGATAGGATCGAACAGTTGGAAGCATAGAGTCAATAGGTTCAATGATCTCGTTGAACCTTGTTTGTTTATATAAAACGCCACTGTTGAGTTGTCGGTGTGGATCATTAGGTGCGCATTCTGTAGAATGGTGCTCCAATGAAGTAGGGCGTTGATTACTGCTTTCATTTCGAGCATGTTTATGTGCAGTTTAGTCTCTTCTTGGTTCCATAACCCTGATGCCGTCCGGTTGGAGAGATGAGCTCCCCAACCTTGGAGCGACGCGTCTGCATAGAGATGGGTTTTGAACTCCGGCTCTGTTAAATAGATGCCTTCGCAAACATTCGACCTCCTGGTCCACCAAAGTAGATGAGGTCTGAGGTAATTTGGTAGACCGAAGGGTTGAAGGTTGTCGAGATGCGCGTTGATGAGGACCTGTAACGGGCGTAACTGTAGTCTGCCTCTGGCTGTCATGTCTTGTACTGAAGTGAGGAGACCCAACAGACTCTGCCACTGTCGTAGCGGTAACGGAGAGAGTAAGGCTTGTGGAATGGTCTGTTGGATCTTGAGCCATCGGTCCTCTGGTACGACGATACGATTCTGTGTCGTGAGGAATCGAATGCCTAGAAATTGCAGGTCCTGCGTAGGTTCTAGGTCCGACTTGAGTAGATTCACTAACCATCCTAGCTGTGTTAGTAGCTTGATGGTGAAATTCAGTTGTAGTTTGAGATGCTCTGGATCTTGATCTACTTGAATCCCGTCGCCGAGGTAGAACGCACTGCGTAGCCCTTGACGATGTAGGTAAGTGACGATGGGTTTCGTTACTCTTGTGAACAACCAGGGGGCCGATGATATTCCAAATGGTAGTACCCTCCATTGGTAATGTAGCCTGTCTAGAGTAAACGGTAGGTACTTCCTCGAGTCGGGATGTATCGGGATATGCAGGTAGGCATCCTGTAGATCTATACTGGCCATGTAGTCCATCGGACGAACGAGGTGCCGTAGTTGAGATAGATGTATCATGCGAAACGTTGGCGGTTTGCGTAGATAATCCCTGTTGAACGTACTCATGTTGTAGATGAGTTGGAACTTTTCCTTGGAATTTTTCTTGGGCACTAGGAAAACTGGGGAGTAGAAACCTGGTTCAATGTTTACTTGATCCACGATTTCTATGGCCTGTTTGGTTAGGAGAGATGAAACAGCTTCTTGTAACTTTAGTAGTTGTTGTGCCTGGAAGTCGAACTTGTGAGGGTTGACTGTAAGCGGAGGCGTGGCCTGTAGTTGGATTCGATATCCGTGTTGAAGGATGTTGGAGACATATGGATCTTGTAGTATTCCCCAGTTCTCCCAGTGCAGTTGAAGGCGTCCACCCACTTGTGAAGGTTGTACAGGAACAGCTGAGGGTGGAAGACTCCAGTCGTTCCGAACCTGCCTTTCATCGTCAATAGTTGCGGGAGCCTCTGGGTGCCCTGCCTCTTCCAGATCCTCCACTGTAGTTGCCAAATGGGTGGCGAAAAGCGTCCTTTCCACCTCTGGATCCGGCCATCTTCCTGTCCCGTGCTCTCTGTAAACCAGTGAACTTCGATCTTCCGGAGTATCTCTGTGATGTCTGCTTGATGACGCTAGTCAGAGTGTCAATCGATTTAATCATGAGGACTTCTCTTGAATCCTTGATGACTTCTTTAGAGACTTTATCAATTCCTCCAGCGAAGATGGAAGGCGTTGACCATGGGGCTGTGAATAGAGGTGCTGTGAACTGTTCACCCCAACTACAGGTGGCGAGGAGACCTTGACGACGAGCCTGAGTAAGAGCTGCTGAGATGGATGAAAGATGATCCGTCAAGAATTGCTGGTCCTTCTTCTGCATAAGGAGGGCCGAGTATATCATTCTGTCATCTTCTGATGTAGAATCTCGGAATCTAGTGATGAGAGTTTCATTAATAGTTCTGGATGTGTTGAGGCCAAAAAACATTCTTCTGGTCATAGTTTCGACTTGAGCCAGCTTGCGATCCTCGATCTTGTACGTCTTGGCCTTGGCATCGTTGATGAATTTAAAGTTATCGTCGATTTCTTGAGCTTTGTAGAATGGGTCCATGTTATGAGCAAAGAACTTCTTGGCGTTGAACTGAGGTAAGTGCGGCGCCTGAGTTTTAGTGGCTGTTTGGAAAGCTTTATCCAAGTTCTGTTGAACCGTTGCTATAGGGTCAATCGGAGGTAGGGTGATCGTGTCTGCGTCGTCCTCCCTCATGAGATAGGTGTGAGCTGGGTTGTTTTCTTCAGATGGCAAAGCCAGGTCCAGGTTGTTGGCCATCCAATAGCGTATCTCTGCGTCGGAGAATATGATGCCTCCATCATCTTCGGTATCCGGAGCGTTGGTAAGAGGCCGATGATACTCTTCTGATGGTGACTGAGGTGGAGTTCTGTATACTTGAACAGCTGTGCATGGCGATGTGTGAGGAGACCTGACTGAAGACTTTTGCGAAGGCTTATGAGTCGAGCGACGTATTGATCTATGAGGTGACCTGCGTGGTGATCTACGTGGAGGTCCTATGAGGCGATCAACGAGGTGAATGGCGAGGTGATCGACGTGGAGAACGGCCTGACGAGCGGTGAACGACAATAGCTTCGCGAAGCTCTTGGTGAAACCCTCGATGACCTTCTAGACTAAGATGACTTGGAGTCTGTAACTGGAGTCCTTCGCGAAGACCTTCGCGAAGCTTCATCTGAGTCCGGTCCTGGGGAGTGATGACTTGACCTTCGTGAAGGCTGGTGGTCCGAGGCAGAGTCCGGGGATGAGAGGATACTTCTTCGCGAACGCCTTCGCGAACGTTGATCATCAGAGTCCAAGGCTGGTGACGATCTAGGTGTCCTTCGCGAAGGCCTTCGCGAACGCTGATCGTCTGGGTCCTTTGCAGAGGTAGACTGTGACGTCCTTCGCGCAGGCTGGTCCCTCAGTGGTGACTTGGTAGTAGCCGCTACGTTGATGGGGGGTCCCTCAGGGCTGACGTCTGCGGTGGAGCCTTCGCGAAGGCTCAGGTCCTGGGCTGGTTGTATCTTTTCCATTCCATAGCGGTCTTCCATCAACTTCATAATCTGTTGAACCAGGTTGCCCGGGATGGTCTGCGAAGTTGTAGTAGCTGCCCTATCTGCGTTGGTAGCGACGGGACCCATGGGAAGATCGTCAGTCCTCAGCGTTGATACATCAGGCTGATTGAGGATCTGCGCTGACGTCACTGTAGCTGACACTAGTCGCTTCTTGCGATGAACATCAGGAATGATGATCGGCCTCTCATCATACAGGCCCTGTTCTGTGGCGGGAACAATCTCGGCTGAGAAAGTTCTTGCTGACTGCGTTGTTTTCCCCTTGGTAGTAGACGCTGCCCTGGGGGTGCGGAGTCTGCGTTGTGACGTAGATGCCATCTTAGTCTTAGGCTGCGACGACGGAAGGTCTGGTGATGCAGGATGCTTCTTGGAGACGGCGGACTGCGTCCCACGCCTCTCCTCCGAAGGTAACTCCTTAATCACATCATTTTTTTAGATTTGAAAAGTATTCCCAAGGTACTACTGCTCACTTATCCTTATTTGACTGATGGTGTAAAATGGGTTTTAGCGGGTTTGATCCACAATCATTTCAAAATTATGACCAAAACATATCTATGAAGTGGATGGTATAAATTGGGTGTTACAGAATAACCATGCTCACTCACTTTCATAATAAAACATAGTTTTTCTGGATTCGAAAACAATGCATTCAAAAATGAACATATCTTTAACCTTTAGCCTGCTGAATTAATTTCAGCATAAGGCCTTGTAAAGAGCGTGGGTGATTTCTAACAGTCGGTGTGTCATTAAGTAAGGGACAACTAAAAAGAAAATGGCACATTAATACTAGATAGAAAAATGAATATTATTATCCAAAAATATCCTGATAATTTCAAACATACAGAGGTTAATGACAAAGCAAACATAAATAATGTAAATTTTCCTGAATTACTTGATAGACAGTGGAATGCGTTTCATATAAGGAACCTGAATAAATCGTTAAAATAGCGCAAACCGATTTCCCAAATCTCATAATTATCTGACTTCAAATTCGTATATTTGTATCGGCAATTATCAGCGAGACGACAAATTAAAAAACATTCCTGAAAAAAATATATACGAAAACGTTCATCGTAAACAAATCGTATTTTCGATGTTATCACAATTTTTTAATTCGCGGGCGTTTTGTTTTAAGGTAAATAAATTAATTGAAGATTATATATTTAGAAAGCTGAGAATCAAATGCATTCCATACATAATTCAAATGACACATAAATCCGACTTGTTGAATTATTATTGCAAGTTTTATTTGGGGATGTAATTATGCTGCTGTCTTGTCGAATGGGTTCGACAGTAGCATTGAGAGAATAAAAGATTCTAGAATTTACATTCTTCAAATTAAGATGCCTCTTTAGAGCCTGAGTTTTCCGGATACAATATTTACTTTAATAGGACATTAAAAATACCATAAGGAAAAGTAGAATGACCGGCCTGATTCTTAATATCAGTTCCTTCCAGAGAATGACAATCAATGTCTGTTGAAGTAACTTTCTTTCTTCCTTAATCATTATTGTTTACAGTTTTCCGTGGCAATATTTTAGAAGATAAAATACTGTTTATTTGTTGTTGTTTTTTTAAACACAACACTCAGTAACATTCCAGCTCTATGCTTGCAGAACTCAGTAACATTCCAGCTCTATGCTTGCAGTACTCACTAACATTCTAGCTCTATGCTAGCAGTACTCAGTAATATTCCAGCTCTATGCTTGCAGTACTCAGTAACATTCCAGCTCTATGCTTGCAGTACTCTGTAATATTCCAGCTCTATGCTTGCAGTACTCACTAACATTCTAGCTCTATGCTTGCAGTACTCAGTAATATTCCAGCTCTATGCTTGCAGTATGTAAATAATAGAATCTATAACTGGCAATCAAACGATTGAGATCAATGAACATCGATCTATGCATTTGGGATATGATGACATGTGCCAACTTTGTCAATGATCCTGCCCAATCCTCTTATTCAAACTACTGGGAGAGCAGCATATTGTAAGTCAATCTCTGATTAGTACATCAAGCAAGGATAATGCATAAATACAATCAACTGAGTTACGAATCCTCACAACCCTATCCATCAGGTTCATGACAGGATAGGTAACAGGGTACCAAATCAGGTTGGGAGTGAATCTGTTTGGATCCACAATGTGTATTCAATGTGATGTCAGTCACAGTAACCTTCAGGGGCATTTAGCATGATAAATGTGTGAGACCTGCATCAACTCTTGTTGATACAAGACATGCCGACATGCTGTGGTATAACTGGAATACTGTTCAAAGCAGTGTTAAAGCACAATCAGGGATACAGCTTGGCACTTTTCAAAATCTATTAAACTCTCACAAAGGGTGTTACTGGCAAACAAATATAAGTTGGACCGGTGCACAGAACGCGTTTACAGCAATGAGCAAACCCATTTGGTTTGTGAAAGGTAGAGCAGATGTAGGCTATTGCACGTGCATTGCATGACGATGAAATTGATTCCGCGCGTAGCTGCACATGCCTTGCTCATAAGACTACACTTGACCGCGGACAACCAGGGCCCCTTCACTAACAATGGCAAGCGCCAGTGGGCGGCACTCATACATGCTAATACGGGTCAATTGTCAGGTTGGTGCTCAACTTATCCTTGTTTGCCAGTAATTATTAACTGAACTACCTAAGGAAAAGAGATTTATGGATGTCAACTTCTTTATACGAACACAACATTCCTCATTCCTCGCGATGGACATTTGGCTGCCAAAGCCACTTTCCTCATCACCTACAAGAAAAATGTACAAAGTTGCTTTTTCATTTTCCCGAAACTTGATGTTAATCTATAAAAGGTGTTATTTACGATCCACTTTTTAAAATTTCTCCAGCTGTTAATCCACACTTACCCTGTTTTTGCATACAGGCTTTTCTACAAGGGTTCTAATGATCATTAAATTTGCTCTCTGCACACAATATACAAAATAACACATAGAAATTATTTAAACTAAAATGTGAACAAATGATATCCTTTTGTTTCTGATCTTACATTTAGATCAAATTAACACAAGGTATCAAGAGATTCTGCAGCTCACCTTGAAATTCATGTCTTTGAATATTTCTTAGTTTTCTATTGGAATACAGGTGTCCTCAGGCTACGCTGTAATTCTAATATAATATTCATATATAGGAAAGAGGTGACTCACCTGGCATATGAGGGTAGTCAACTCCACCAATCGTACAGGTCTTAAATTCCACGAGGTTCTCCGTCAGTGTTCCGGTCTTGTCGGAGAAGATGTACTCTATTTGTCCCAGGTCCTCGGTGATGTTGAGGGCTCGACATTCCAGACGTTTGTTGGAGGGTTCATGGTAAACATCATTGTCGTTGTTGATGAAGTACACCTGGGCAATCTTCACCAACTCCAGGGAGACGTACATGGGAAGGGGGATCACTGTCTGGAACAGAAGTTGTGTCGTTAATTGTTTTGACTTTTCAGAATAATGATATGATAATAATGGATTTGTATGGCGCCTTGTTTCAACCATACAGTGCTCAACGGCACTGAAAGCACAATCTGATTATTATTACCCCAGATAACCAATGCTGCCTGCGAGGCGCTAGAAGGTTATTAGTCATAGGACTTATCCCACCGGGTACCCATTTTCTGCTTGGTGAACAGAGGCAATTTTGAACAAGCTCACTTGCCTAAAGTGTGACCACATGTATCACATGTGCTTTTGTTGGCAGGACTGAAGTCCTAGAACCTCTCAGGAGTCAAGCTGCCAAACACGGTCACCCAACCAAGAACTGTCTGCACTCAACGTTGCTTAACTTTAACTGATTCGTGACCTGAGCTCTATGCACAGGACCACACCCCACCGCCCTGTTCCCAACATGGCATAGGCGGAGGGGAAGCAATATTCCAGATTTTTGCCTGTAAACAATCAGTTACTCAGGACAATAAGGCTCTTTAAGGACATGTCACAAAGTATGTCCAGCCCTTTACAGGACTCATTACCTGAAATATGATGATGTAGGTCCAGAAGACGATGAATCCTTGGTAGACAGGGTTGAACTTGTCAAGGTCACCAAATGGAATGAAGGGCACATAGTTGGTGTTGTCTGTCAGGCCATTGAAGTTGGACAGCCAGATTCCACTACCTGGGAACAAGCCTTATGACTGAGAGTAACCATCAGGTTTACAAAACATTTGGTTTTATCCCTTACGTTCAAACACTGCACAATGTTCTTTAAATGTAAATAAAATGATAGAAATATAGGTTACATTCACAAACAAAATAATTCAATATCATTCAATTAGAAGGCAAAGATGGGTTTTCTAAGAATGTATTTGCAGTAATGATACTAACATTTAAATTATGTATTTATATCATAACATACTGAGAGAAACAAATAAAGGATTACTGAAAAATTCAAGAGTTCCTTTGTTACTTTCCAGTTTTCATCACCACAGCGCTATTCGAAGCTGGAGATGAAAACTGGAAAATATTAAAGGAACGCTTGTAATTTCCTGTGATCATTTATTTGTTTTTCTTAGCATATTATGATTTAACTCATTAAGCCCGAGAGCCCCATCACTACTCAACACCTGGAAGCCCTTGCTGATTGCCGACTCTCTGTGCCGAGAGTAATTAGTGCTAGTCACACCTGATTTCCCTGGCAGGTTTCGGGGATCACAGGAAACTGTCTAGTCGTACAAACAAGTCCTGATTGTTTAATTGTGTCATAAAGATATATGTTGAAAGAAATCAGGTGTGAATACATGTCGTGTATTGCAAGCTTTATGTAATTTTATTGCAAGTTTCTCTTGTAGACCTTTTGTAGGCTTGTACATTCATATTTTATCACAATATGCATACACATGTATTCTTTGTATGTAACAGATGAGACACACGTTAACAAATTCTCTCTCTTATATCATTGTGTGAGGTTTAAATTTACAAAACATCTATGACAATGACATACTGTAAAGAAGAATTTACTTTTATACTTTATAATCTTCGACGAAAATAGCGGTTTAGCCGATACATTTCTAGTGTTTACGAATTATTTTAATGAAAGTACTATAACGCTAGTCTGTGACTAGCACAAAGCACATTCATAGCATTGCACTTTATTTCATACAGATTTAATGCAGAAAACATACGTGACCATACAAACATACATATACAAAATGTATACTACATATTCCTTGCATAGACATAAAACAAAGAGTCACGTGATAGGGCATCATCAAATTTCACGAATAGAACGTTCGGTATCTCAACTGTTCAATGTAGTGGCTGGTCATATGTTATCTGCGACCAATCGTATCATGAGATACCTGTCACAGAGGAAAGGACAGGTGATGGAGCATGGGCGAAATTTCTGAAGAGCACGTTTGGTCACTCAGCAGCATGGATAGACATTGGTTATTGGCTATATCCTTGACCAGTCGATATGCTGGGTTTCGGCTTTATCAACACAAGCAATCATGTAACAGTTTGTGTATTGTAAACATACACACTGGTATCTCAACTGTTCAGTATAGTGGCTGGTCATATGTTATCTGCGACCAATCGTATCATGAGATACCTGTCACAGAGGAAAGGACAGGTGACGGGGCGTGGGCGAAATTTCTGAAGAGCATGTTTGGTCACTCAGCAGCTTGGATAGAGATTGGTTATTGGCTGTATCCTTGACCAGTCGATATGCTGGGTTTCGGCTTTATCAACTCAAGCTATCATGTAACAGTTTGTGTATTGTAAACATACACACTGGTAACGATGTATGAAATATACACATAAGACAAATAGGAGTAGATAGTCACTTTGGCGAGTTTATTTGTCCTCATTTTAGTGTTTTTCGATCAGTAAAACAAAGCGATTGAAATCCAACCACTGAGTAGAGGTAGTATTTATTTTCATATACATTTTATGCACGCAACTAGTACATAAAACATAATGGTTTGCTGTACATGTAAATATAATCTTCACCTTGATACGAATGACTATCCAAACTAGAGTACACGCATTACAGAATTTACGAGGTGACACTATACTGAATTATTATAGTGTATAAACTTGCAGTTGACACCCCTACCCCCAATATTTATGAAGGTGGGCGTGCCTTTATCTTTACTGAATGCAAACGAGGTTCATAAGATTACAGATGTGCATGCATGTATAAACATCACAGAGAGGGGTGTGACTCCATAAAGCGAAATGTCCAATGATATAACAGCGCATCTATTTATTTTACACTTGTCACGGGACAAACCTTTCACCAAGGACGTAATTACATATGCATTCTACCGGAGGCTGTTATTTCAAGGTCGAAAGAGGCGTTCAATTATCTCATTACTGTAATCTGCTTGAATGATTATACGCATGTGTATCGATACCGTAACTGATATACTATCAAGCTTTTATTGACGATGGATCAATAGAGACTGAGTTGATTGATACACGTGATAATTGCACCGGATTTGATAATTACACAGATCAAATATACAAACGTTTTACAGAATGCTCATGTAAATTGCATAGAAAACTGACAATTCAAATCAACATGAAACTTTCAACAGCTTGAACAAAATGTAATTTTCTGAATAAAATTGATATTTTATACTTATCCTGACTCATGTTTAATGCTTGTCTCCTTCCTCTTGCGAACGTTAGTGGAACAGTTGTATCTCCTATTGAAGCTCCCTTCAATAAAGAATAGACGTAAAATCACTCCTACCAAGAGTTATCTCTCCAGCTGTTTAGGAGGGAAACTGTGGCGCGACCGTCCCAACGTGCCTCACTCTCTCCTGATTATGAGCCCGACACTAGAATTTGCAGGGAAATCCAAAGTGTCTAATGGGGAGGCTGGGAGGGCTTACCTCATGAGTCAGGATAAGTATAAAATATCAATTTTATTCAGAAAATTACATATTTTTCCTTATCCTGACTCATGCTTAATGCTTGTAGAATCCGACGGAGTGGCGGCGGGCAAGATACTTTGGATTCCATGTAGTGATTTACGTCTTCTATACCCCCCTATGGGAACTTCGAGTTGGCACTGTATTTAACTGCTAATCTCTGCTGCTGTTGCGACCTTGTCCTTCCAGCTGCCTTTATATGGGGGGACCACAATAGTTAACTTTGGGTCCTTCTTCTGTTAACATTTTATGTGGATTTTGCGACTCCATTTCTTGATGCAAGCAACAAGTGGAGAAGCGACCCATTCCTGTACAAGTATCCTTACAAGTACTGGCTCATATCACTTATGCTAGTCGTTAGACATGCATTGCGACTTAAGCAGAACTCTGCTGAGTGTAAGCTTTGTAAGTCATGTGATAAAAGGGCGAGACTTCATCTCAGCGCCTTTGTGGGACTGTCAATTGTTGTGCTACAACAAGAGGGCCGAAATGGTGAATGTCAGAGCCGTCCTCAGTGGCGATGTCCCTCAGGTAGTGGTTGGCAAACACCATGTCCCATTTCCAGAAGCAGCCCTCCATTATCGACCTGATAGAGCAATTCCCAAGTAGAGCGAGCGATGACGCCAGAGCTCTAACTTCATGTGGGTTGGAGGCTCTTGGAGGATCCAGTCCTGCTGCTTTGTAGGCCCGTAGTATGACAGTTCTGATCCAGCTTGATATCTTAGTGCGGAAGACCTTCGTCTGTGTCGCTGTTGATATTGAGACGAAAAGACACTTGAATTTCCGTCTCATGGACCTGGATCGTTGTAGGTAGACTTTCCATGCTCTCACTGGGCAAAAGGATAAGACCTGCGTATCCTGTGGTTCAAGAGCTGATGATAGTGTTGGGACGTGGAACTGTCCGTCTGGATGACCTGGCAGTGGATTCTTTGCAATGAAGTCCCATCTCAGTCCCATATGCACGATGTTTTGATTTGCAGAGCATGTATTTCCGACATCCTTGCTGCTGTTACTAAGGTTATTAGGAACAGCGCCTTCTGCATCAAGAACTCGAATGATGTTCTCTGTAATGGTTTGTAGATCTCACTAGTGAGATGTCGTAGAACAACGTTGAGGTCCCACACCGGAGCTTTAAATCTCTGATGTTGGTCCTCCAATTAAAAGGGCGTAGTAAGGCCAGTAACTCTGGTACTTATGTCAGTTGCACTCGTCCTCATGGCGATAACTGACCTCAATGCCGCTAGGTATGTTGAGAGTGTTGACCCTTTTAACCGCTTCCTTTGTCTAGGTGACAAAGGTAGTCCGCCACTTGAGAATGTGTCACTTTCATGGCTGTGAAGTCGGCCCCCAAAACGTATCTTTTGTCTCGAAGTGTCACTACTTGTCGTCAGACAAGTTGCGTGAAGACTTGCGTAAAGCTAGTGTCACTGCTTTCGCTGCCCTGGCGAAATATCCTCTCTTGTTCAAGCATGCCTTGATACAGTCCACACGTGTAGCCGGAACCCTTCTGGGTTGCCGTGCGCCTGCTTTGTGTGAGAATGTACTAGTAGATTCCTCCACTCTGGGGGTTGCAGTAGAGGCAGTCCTAGGTCTTGTATGAGAATAGGGAACCATATTCTCGCTGGCCAAAAGGTGCGCCCCAAGTAGTTGTGGGTCTCTCGCCTGAATGATTTTCTGCAACACCCTCGGTATTAGAGCTGGTGGTGGAACGCGTAAGCGTGTAATCCTAACCAGGAGATGCTTAGCGTGTCCGTTGCCCATGTCCGTGGATCTGGCATTGGTGAGACAAATGTTATCAGGTGACCCTTGTGGCGAAGAGGTCTATTAATGGTGCTCCCATCTCTTGTATGATCTGCTTGAAGATCTCTGCATGAAGCATCCAGTCTATTTGAGAATGGCTGCGTTGGACAGGATAGTACATCTGCTATCACATTCTTGGCTCTTGGAATGTGGCATACTCTGATGTGGACGTTCAGGTTGACTGTTATGCTGACCAGTTGAAAGCAGAGGTCCAGAAGGTTCGCCAACTTGTTGATCCTTCTGTGGACGTAGACCGTCACTGTTGAGGTGACTGTATGTACCGTCAGACGAGCATTCTTCAAAATGCTGGTCCAGTTGAGTATGGCGTTATCACTGCTTTCATTTCCAGCCTGTGGAAGTGCAGATCTCCTCTGCTATGGTCCATATCCCAGCTGACACATCGTTGTCGAGGTGTACTCCCCAATCTTGGAGAGAT